TGGAGTCAGCTCCAATTCAAGATTTGATATTGTAATCAAGTACAGAATTTTTTAGCCAATTGAGGTAATGAGATATTCAATATAAAGGCTTCAAGATACAAATGAGCTCTCATAAGCACACTATTAACCTGATCGAAGGTAATGAATACTCTGGTACTGGGAGGCAAACGGTGTTAGCGTAAAAAAAATATCCAGAAGCAGTAAATTCATCTTGTCACTTGAGGCTTGATCCAAAGCTTGTRTGAATCATGGAACTGAAACAGAGGCTGACAGGACTGAATCTGAAAACCTGCATTGTGAAGAAAGCTTAATTTGAGCAGAATTAGTGAGCTTTTTGTCTTGGCCAATGCCTCAAAGGACAGGAAGGGCATTACTATGTTTGCATGATAAGAGGATTTAGGAAACAACTTCAAAGATAAATGAGATCCAAATACTATCACTTTTTGTCATGTTTTCATACCCCGTTATAAAAATTTTTTCATACATCTGACAAAAATAACTTTCAAGGCTAAGGTGTTGCAATGTATTTGCATTTTAAAAATATATATTAAATGATTCCAGTAGTTTTTGTTTATATGTGGTATAAAAGATGTTAGCAGCAAATATACAAGAGGAGGGATTTTAGCCCCCTCAAGCATGGTAGTTAAATAGATGCCTTCCTACTCACCAAGGAGAGGCACAGGGTCCAGCTGGGGTTCTGGAGCTAAAGTCTCTTGCATCTTTTCTATAAAACATCTGTGCTTTGAAGAGAGAGAACATTCTGTGCCATAGAAATACAACATATTTGACTGGGTGCTCTGGGGGCAGTTAGTTGGTTGGGAGAAGAAAAATTTCTAACCTAATTTCATCAGGTTCTCTCCAGCAGAGATCAAAAAATCAGACTGCCAGCCTAGACTTCCCATTTTGAAGCGTTCTTGTGAATACAATACGTTAGCCTTTCCAGCAGCATACCAGTGATGTGTGCATGGTCTTTGGGGAATATTTTTGATGTTCCTGCCCTTGGCTGGAGTAAAATGAGGCACAGGGGCAAGGCTGAAATGAGGCTGATTAGTGGTAGCTTCTGCTGTCTGCACATACARGAACAGCTTATGCAATATCCTCTGATCCTGCTGAGGATATTTTGGCCTCCCAACCAAGAGGAAGCATCAATGAGGGACGTGGCTTGTCAGCACAAGCCTCCAGTTCAGACCTAGCTGGTAACAGTGGTGGGAGCACACACAGCTGACAATGAGGAGGGACWGTTCATTGATATTTTCACCTTCATATCTTCCAGACATGCTCTGAGATGGTAAGGAGCAGGAAGCAGGCTTTAAAATTGATTTCTCCGTGCCTGGTGCTTGCAGGGTTTGTAGCAGCCATGCTCAGCCACACAACCAAAAAGCTTTCTTGAGTTCCTKTGCCTGGCTCTCTCTATCCATCTCGTTTCTCCAATTTTACACTTGGATCTTCCACATCCTTTGAGAAGGGGAAAATCACCAAACGTAAGACCAAAGCACAGCAAGTACCTAAACCATTTCACTCTGAGGTCCCTAGTACTGCAGAGAAAACTACATAGTGGGGAAGGGCATTTGTTCACAAAGAAAAGTATTTTGGATTTAGTCAGCCACTTCAGTCTGGAGACATGGCATGAGACTGTAGGGATTCATTTTTGCATTCCAAAAGGCATTTTTCTTTTTTYTTGCAATGCTTTTATGTCCTAGCCAACAGTGTTAAACACCTTCCAAGCATATGAGAATCTGTGTGAACATTTTCTTTCTGGTTTGTTTTTATTACTTATCATSGATTACAGAGCGGATGCACAAACTCTGCAGGATAACAGAATGTGCTACAATCTTCTCCAAGCACACGGTTAATGTTTTCTTCATAAATGTAGCAGTATAATTTATCTTCAGGCAGTGCAGGTTCAGCTGTGCAGCACACCTCACTAAATACATGTAACCTGTCACTGGAACCCAGAAAGCGGCTGGCTTTGCTTGCCCACGACTCAGATTCGTCATTATCTGTAAGAGGCTGAAGTGCAGCCAGGTGACTCAAACACGAGCAGAAGCAGCWATTCCAGGTTTACTGGCACTGCTGCCAGCCCTGCTTCAGGGACCCCTTACTGSTACAGGAGCCCTCACTAGGCAAACCAGGAACTTGGGGTGCTTGTAAGCAGCTTGGGCAACAACGCCAAAAAAATATACACTTGAATAAATAGTCCCAATCCAGTTCAAAGAGAAATTAAATCATATGTTTTAGTTTTTGGAACATAACCCAGAGGGACATCCATAWATTATTCTTCAGTGATGGGGTAGAGAGTTTAGGAGGTGTTATTTCCTGACCAGTTACTTCTCAGTTAATTGTGTTTCCTACCAGAATGGAGTTGTATGCAAGGTTTAGGTCTGTGGTACAGATATAAACCAAAATGATTCCCTTTTCCTATAGGCCCCTGCACCTGAGTGGATTTCCTGATGTGCTGAGGCACAGAGCCTCCCAACCTCTTTCTAATGTGAAAGTTAAGTAAGAAATGGTTTCTACATAACTTTTCTTATGCATGATGTCACCCTTTCCCCCCGCTGTCTGGCCTTAACTTCATCCCTACAAACATCAGCTATGGCATTCTGAAGAGGCTGAGCTTTCTGCCGCTTGCCATAAGGACAAGGCCAAGGTGAGATCAATCCTTACTGTCTGGTGTTAGCAGGACCCACTGTTCCAAAGAGCATCTCTTGTCTGAGAAAGTTGTGATTTTATTAAATAAGAGATTAAATTTTTGACCTGATCTAAAAAAAGTAGSAATTATCCTGTATGTATTTAGGTGAAGAGGGAAAGTTGTTTAATTCCTCTTTCCCCTTCCCTTGGCAGAAACCCACCCTGTTACAGAAGGAACCCTTGCAAGCCAATTAAGAGAGTCTGATTCAGGGCAGACCCACCACATGTAGACTTTTATGTTCYTTACATCTGTTTTTCTGCATTTGTGTTTGCTCCAGCTCTGCTAATGTGCAAAAGGAAAAGCACGTCCAGGTGGAGAAAACACCATTTATTGTTCCTAACGTCAGAGTGCTACATGGGTAAATGAAAAGAATGCATCTTTCTTATTTCACTCCCACAGAACAAACCCCCAGGGGAGGTCCTTTAAGTCCTCTCTAGTTAAGAGCCCAGCTGAGTTTCCTTCTTACCTTCTCCCCATATTCACACACACAGCCCATGACTTGAACTGAGTGTGAAAGGAGCMAAGGTAGGTATGAACAGTGGATATAATCCTGCACATTTCCTTTGGGCTCTCAGCAGTGTTTTCCAACACTGTTRCATTTTGTGTTTATAGCAGAGCAAAGACTTTCTTGCTCATTTAATTTTCTCTTCCCCTGCTGCAAGGCTTAGTTCATTAGCTTAAAAGACTGTCACGCTTCTGGAGAACAGAATATGTTTGGCAGGAGTTTTGTGGATAGTAATTATCTGAAAATTCAATCAAGCCATTTTTTTGATTGATTTTTGGGATGAGATATACAGGCTTCACTGGAATTAATTGCATCCTAGTATTTTTTAATTTATGTTTTAAGCATCAGATTGCCCTACCAGTCCCACTTCCTTTGGTACATTTAYTTTTTCCTCTTAAAATCTACATGCAAAGTCTCTTCTAGGTATATGCTCTGACTGTATTGAGTTTTTAAAACAAAATATGTCTTCCAATGGTATTAGTATTGTAACACCCTCATAGCTGAAAAGAATTTTTAAAGAAGGATAATTTTCAGTCTTAAAAATGCCATTGTCCTAGCAGGTAGACCYACTTGAAAACTGCAGAAGATAAATAAAGTAACACTGATTGTGAATGATGACCTTTTCCTAATGAATTTATTTTCATGGCAYGAACTCAATGTATAAGGCTTAAGGATGTATTTTAAATAGCAGTGAAAACAAAAAATATGAGAAAACCTAAACTACAAGAGCAGAATGGTATTATCACAGTAGTCCTAAGCAGCTGAAAAATTGTCCCAATCATAATTTCATAAACCACATGTTCAAGGCTCTGAAGAAAGTAAGGAGCAGCTTGCACGGATTTTCATTCCAGGTTTGTAGAATGGTAAGTGGTCACTGGCAATTTCATTCAYTTGCAGTTCTAAAGTTCAGACCAAGGTCAGCAACCTGAAGCTTACTAATAACCGAGGTGATAATGGGGTAAAGGAGAAGAAGCAAGAAGTGGTAAGAATTAAAGTGAGTTACACTTTAAATCATAAGCAATTGCAAAATCAAACCCAGACCTACTGTCTAAGAAACTGCCAGCACTCCTGCASTATTGTGTAGGTTCTGTATGTAAAGGACTGTTTCCTTTCAACAGGATTTACAGTTTGTAGACAAGAAGTTTGTAGACATGTTCTGTACTTGTATGGCAAGAGATACATTCATTCAAGTATAATTGTTAAAACCAACAGAAACACAKATCTTGTTATCCATGTAATCACTGAGCCATGGCTGGCTGCAGACAACCCTTAAGCAAAAGGGCAGGTGGGATCCATGGCAGTTGGTAACTGCTGGGGCAGTAATGAGGTAAGAAAAGCAAGGACAGGAGGTGTTGTTTGGAGTGGCTCAGTCAGTGTTCAGCACTGCTGCCAACTGAGGGTGCTGTTGAACCGTCAGCACCTTGCTGGAGTCAGGGCAGGGCTGCAGCACGGGACTGCTCCATGGACAAACAGTCCAAGGGCTGCTGCACCCACCCCTAAGGCACTGGGGGTGTCCTCTGGCTTTTCCCTGTCACCCCTGCCACCCTCCTACTCAGCCTGGAGAGATGAGATAAACGAGTCACAGCAAGGGGGAGAAGCAGGACCGCCGGCTTTGCCCTCTGAGTTAAAGCTCCTGCCTTTGACATCAAATGCGGCAACAGGCGATTCCCAGCTGAACCGGGGCTCCGCAGGACCAGATGGATTAGCAAAACGTTTGAGGACCTGCTCTAGAGCTTTACTATGTTTTGTGCTCCTAAAAGAGACACTTCAGTGACTCAGGGTAGTTCCAGTAGCAGGTCAAAGGTTGCCACTAAAGTCAGCACAAGTCTCTTTGCATGTCACTTGAAGTATTTTTATTGACAGGGTTTTTTTACAAGCATTTGCTTTTTATTATTTTCACCAAAATAAAGCATATAGCATATAGTGTTTTCACACATTTAGGASATAAATAAGTGTATCTTGAATTCATTAATGCCATGATAACACATGAAATACAAAGTTATTTCTTCATTGAATTTCATTTTAAATACAGTTTGTTTGGCCTTTTTTAAAAACAAACTTTTATTGTGTTACCATACATTTCCCTTGTTAACTTATAGATGTTAATTAACAACAGGGAAACTAGTGTGGTGTATTGCTAGAGATAAAAAGTTTTTCTGTTAGGATGAAACCTGTGTATCAAGTTACCAACCGGTAAATTAAAAAAACCCAACACATTAAATGAATGTTGTCACTTGAACTGATAAAGAAAATCTTAAGAGAATAACAAATACTTCACCTTCACCTCCAATTTGTTTGTAGAATAATACGAAAATAATCAAATTTTTCTATTTCCACACTGATTGGTATGCATATTAATTTATCTTCTGAATTTCATTTAGAATTTACACTAAACTTGTTTGCAATTATAAATAAATGGAAGTATAAAGACAAAATCTCATACTGCCGCTCCCTTGAATTTACCAGCTACAGTAAATGCATRATTTAAGATCATAAATACATTCCCATTCAACTTAATCAAATACCATAGGACTAACTTCATGTGCTCAGTTTCATGCTGCATAGTCGAGAAAGGAAAAAATCTGGTGGCACTTGGTATCTTTAATGGCACTTCTTCCAGCAAAGGGTAGGATGCATTTGTGTCACTAGGCAGGGTTATCCTTCAAAACAGTACCTTAAGATATGCTTGAAAAATACATAAARCACTAAGTAAAGCACAATTCCCGAGTGGTGTGCCAGGCTTTAGCTAACGATACAAGGATCATCATTGCTTGCTTTCATTTCCCCTTCCAGCAGCAGAGTGATCACAGCCTTGCTCAAGTAGCTGCACGTTCCCTTTTTTCCAAGTGGGTGGGTGTTGTAGAATGCAGTCATGTCATTCTGCACACAGGGAAAAGAGACTGCCATTAGTGCTGCCTGTGGAAAGCAGCCAAACACACCAAAACAAGAACAACATCAGATGTGTCAAAAATGCAAATATGTTTTTTGGACTCCATAACTGTAGAATATTCTGCTAAATGTTCAGAAATCTCCCATCTATACTTACCTGCTTCTATTTCCTCACTGAGTTTTCCAGGACTACACAGATACTGCACYTTCTTAACATTTTTTAAAATGTCATAGCTGTCAGAGAACAACTGCTCTCCTAAAACATGCAGCTGGGCGATGCCTGTGTGGTAGAATGGTGAGCCAAGGCCTTGGGTGTACACGAGGTGTAAAATGACTGAAGATTTATTCAGAAGGAAAAAATCCAAGATCCAAACCACAGGTAGCACATGAATTAATTCATTAATCAGATCACCAAAATAGGTGTCCTTCACTGAACACCTGTTTTTCACAGTTAGTGACATTAAAACACCTGCTTATTCTCAAATTATGTATTAGCTGCTCTAAAAAAGGCTCAGTGTTTTAATTCAGGAAATTGGATACTTTTATTAAATCAAAGGCAGAGATTGTGTGGAGAAAATATTAAGACTTCTGCAGTTTTACGGTGTGTCTGAACTTACTTTTGACATTTATTAAATGTTAAATTAACAAAATTCAAAAGATTTGCAAGTCAGTTTAATGGAAGACTATAGTTCAGACAAATCAGGCGTTTTCAGCAGTGTTAGGAAACCTTGGGACAGAACACCCTAAGAACAATCCCACACAGGGTTACTGTTAGCTGCCAGCAGACATCCACCTGGGAATATGGGACAGTCAGGTTCCAGAAAATGTTAATGCAAAGAGCTGAATTTCCAACAACAATCTTAAAGTGACTATTCACACCTCTAAACTGGGGGTTCTTTCTAAGAGACAAAAAGGCATTATTCYAAGTAGGTCTGGGCTTGGAGTAAAAAACCAAACCATCACTTCAATAGAGGCTAGGGCAGCATGAGTAAAAATTGGGGTTTGCATGGAATTTTCCTTTGTAGCCACTGGGGATTTGCAGTTTGTCACAGAATTCAGTAACAAATTCAAGATGCTGTGTGGAGCTGGCACTTAAAGGCCATTTGTGTGGATGATGGGTGKTTTTTGCTACAGCCACAGAGTCACTACCCTCCAACATGGACCAAAAGAATCATAATTTCAGGAAAATTGTGTTCTTTTACAGACAAAGGTATCATATAAATTGACACATTGCTGAGGTTGGTATCTGGCTTGCTTTCAAATTTTAGYATAAAAAATCAGTTGCAAAAAAGTGAACATTGAAACATTTGAAAGACTTCTTAAGCAGAATATCCTTCCTCATCTTTTCTAGGAGCTAAATTCAGCAAGAGGAAGGGCTGCTGCATGTCAATGTTATGAATCAATAGATTCTTCAGAGCCAGCACAGATAACTTCGAATATATTGTGCACAATAAAATGCCAGCTGGAGCGMGAAACATCATCCTCAGTAGCTTTGGGACTTGTCCCACTGCTTTACTCCCATCTCCTCCTTCAACCAGTCCAATAGACCTGGCTTTATGACMGAATTTCAGAGCTTTGAGGCACCAAACCTTGTAGTGAGAATATTTAGAGATCTTTAAAGGACAAAACCTACATTTCTAGTGAAATAYTAAAAGCATTTACTCCTTTATTTGAGTTTTAACCAAAAGTTTGCCAGTTCACGAATGTAACCTAGCAGAAAAATCAGTAACTGCAGAATCAAGAACAGTTCTGTATTTCAAGTTCTTACTTTATTACTGTCAATATGACTTCCTTGGTTATTAAAGCTTTCTTAGTCTCTGGGTACATAAGATCCTAAGCTCACCTCATCCTTGCTGAGCTTTAGTTTTTCGTCTTTTATACTTTTTTATTTTTAACTCTTCTTGTTCTAGTGTCTCTCCTAATGAATTCTTTCCCCTCTGAGTAACCCTTCCAGCTTTCCTGAGACTCACATTTCAGAGCCATGGAACACTGAGTATTCTCCTTACCATAACATTTTGAATTTACGACTCAGCAATAAAGTGCACCTCTTTCATCTCTGCTTAGAGGCTCTTTGCAGACCTTGGGTATATTAATTTCTTATTTGTGTTCCATCCTGAAYTTCTGTCAATTGCTTTTTACTCTAAAATGCACGGAATTAACATTTAGAACTAACTTCAATAAGAATGGTWAATTCAGTAAGACAGCAATATTTGACTCACTTGATTTTCAGCTCCCTTTGGACTGCTGTGATCTTTCTGAAAGTCATGAAACGCTTCTTGCACCACTTTGTCCAAGTCCACTTTGTCCTGGAACTCTAGCTCAGGATTTCTCTCCAAAATAACAGATATAACCATCAGCAACTAGAACGCAGAAAAAGATTGCAAGACTTTAAATTTCATTTTTTAAAATTCAGGTTACATAATAGCACTGCTAGTAATTGCATATGCCTCTTTCAAGCAGGAAGCCATTTAATAATGGCACAGGTAATAGTGCACAGATAATAGAATTCTGACTTTGATAAAAGAATCACTGGAAAAGCAGGCTTTTATGAAAGGTTACAATTGCTGGTGACTGCCTAGGTAAGGACACTGTAAATGATTGACATTAACATCTAACTTGGCTGGGAGCCAGGCAAGTTATTTTCCATTTTATTCAGTTCATTGCRTGGCTGCACAAATGCTGGTGCTCAGTGGAGAGACTGAAAAGCRGCAAACACCGAACCTCAGCATTTGGCATAATCAGAGATGGTAAAATTCTGTTATGACAAASTTTATAAAAACAAAGTTCATAAAGACAATAGTTATCAGCAAAGTCTCAGTTCATCAGAATTCACCTTCCTTATCTCTGAAAGAGGTTTAAAATAAGGTGAACATGATGAGTGTCCTGTTGCAATATCTACAAGGAGGGAAWGCAGAGGGCAAACTGATTATTTTAGACTTTTGCTTAGATCTAGAAAATTGTTAGGAAAAAGCATGGGCTAAGGACTTGAAGGAAAGCTACTCCAGAATTACTCAATTTTTACCTTCTCTGACCTAATTATATTGGTCTGTAATAAATATCTGAAGAGGAAGAACATAATGAACTCTATTCTGAAAATGGAACAAGAACCTTAATTTAATCATAAACAATCCATGGAGAAACAACTGAAGTATTTATATGGAAAATGCTATTCCTTCAAAAATTTACGTCTAGATTATTTTTTTGTTTTGTTTTAGGCTGTAACATGCTAATACAATTATAAAATGTCATTAATTGTTGGCCACAGACCTCTACAATGATTTGCCTGTATTGTGGCTGGTCAATGTTTTGCAGCATATCTTCAACTAAGAGGGAAAAATTCATTTCATACATCGTCATATCCGATAAGGTTGGTTGCTGAAAAACAAATAACACTTTTATTCAAAGATCACATGCATTAAACCAAACCCACTCCCCGGCAGTTTGAATAAATAATACTCAGCTAAGAAACAATGACCACTGTAGGATCAAAAAGAGGGCAGATTTCAGAGTCCATGACTTGGAAAGAATCTTCTACACTTAYAGTTTTATACATGTGCTTTAATAGAAGTAATTTGCTTTCATTCCATTCTAATTATATTTTACTCCAAACAAAAAAGAAAACTTGAAAATACTTTTTTTTCCCCAACTAACAAGTTACTCTAAGTAAAACATTATGGCATAAAATAAACATTAATGATCAAACATTTCCCCACTAACAGTCAGGTGAAGAGCACTACATGAACTCTCTGCTGGTTTACCTGGGGCAGGAATCTCCCTGCCACTATTAAGCCGTTGGGGGTTCTCTCCAGGATCTGCCACACCCGATCGTAGAACCCTGCAGGAGTTCTGTTCAGGGAACCATCGAGCTGCCTCCTGTTCAGCCAGCTCCTGGGGACACACAAGGGACAGGTCAGGAAAAGCTGGCCCAGGTGCACAGCCAAGCCCTGGAGCGTGGGGTGAGGCAGGARGGTGAGCAGTGAGCCCACAGCACACACAGCACAGGCTGGGCTCTGTGCTGAGATGAGAGAGCAGACACAGGGGCTCAGCACACAGAGGCCAGAATGGCACCCATGGGTGTTTGTGCTTTATGGAGCTGCAGAAAAAGCAGGAACTGTGAAATCTATCCAATGCAGTCCTGTAATGGCAGCAGATCAAATTCATCAGGTACAATCATATTAGAAAAATGCATTTCAGCAGAACTGTTGAAGGCAGGGTTTTTTCCTGATGCTCTGTTAAAAAACAAGTGGCCAGTAAATTTGGAAAACAGCAGAATGGTTTAGTTAAACTAAGGCTTTGAACAAACTGAGTTACATTCTTCATAAATCACAAATCCTGTTTGCCTTCAGAAGCACACTATCCCCAACTCTTTTATTTTTTACTTAAAACTATCAAGTCTGGAATTTAATTCTCCTATTTTTACTTCTCAGTTACTACAAGAGTGAGGCTTTAGCCAAAATGTTTCAGACACCAGCACTGGAACTTGAAAAAGTAGCATCCACAGGTACTATATAATTGGTGGACTCACAAGAAAGATTTCTGTCTTGTGTGGCAGTCTTCAGGTATTTAACAGAGGAGACTTCCTCAAGTTACTTAGTCCTTAGTTAAGTTTTGAATTTGAAGTAGAAAAATCAACACGCATATTATTTTTTAGAAAAAAACTGCAATTGAATTACTACTTTGCAACACGCCTTTCTGCATTTCTAAGACCTGGTTCTGATGGGCTGCYTGAAAGGAAAAGAAGAGGGAAAACAAGAAGGGAAATTCCCTGGTCAACTTTAAAATACTGTTTTGCAGAGCTTCTGTGGCCTAGCTCAAATTAATTCAGCACTAATAAGTTTGGGGTTTTAGTTTTTGCTCCATTTGTATTGGCAGRTTAACATGACATGTTTAGAATAAAATGACTTGCCCATAAAATTCCTGTTCCTGCAGACACCAGTGTGCTTAAAGAAATTACTAAAATATATTGCATTAAAAAGCCTTACTCTTCAATRCTGGAGAAATGGTGAGAATTCCTTCTGGCATACAACCAGTAAGGAGGAYACTAATTCTGGCAACTCCATGCACGGTTTTACATTTCAGTTTCTTAGTGTAGCTCACTCCCAGCTACACCAGAAGACCAAGAAAATAGTGTGCCAGCTTGTTTTTTCTGTTTGCTTTTTTTTTTTWAAGAAAAAAAGAGAGGAAGAAGTATTACCAAGTGTTGCATTTTCTGAACAGGTTTGAGCTCAAGGTAATTRGGATACAMTTTATGAGAACAAAGAAGATGTTTTCTTAATACACAAAAAAGAAATATTTGAAGATGTCAAAAATGCTCTGASCCACCTACATTAATAGGGGAAGGAAGAGAGTGCTGCAAACTGAACAAGCAAAGTGAGTTTTATAACCGTTTGGACCATTAAAAGAACAATGCTCATTTTAAAAAGGGCTTCTTGCAATCGTGTGACCTACATAAATAGATTAAAAMATGTAATCTGTGCAGTCTGTACTCACAAAAAATGTTACCCTGTGTGAAAACTTGGAGAGAGGTTAGTTGTGCAGAGACTGTTAGGGAGGTAAATAGACCATYAGCCCTTCCTGTATGATAAATTAAGTGGCAGTGAGATATGGTATCACACTAGCAGAGATTTTTTTTAAAAAAATCACAAGAGTAGGAAAAGCTGTCACCAAAAAGAAAAAAAAAAGAAAAAGAAAAGGAGGGGGAAAAAAGAAGAGTATTCTGTATTTCCTGACAGGAAGAGAACTTTTAAAAACAAGTCACTAATGAGCAAGGAAAAACGAGTTAGTAATGCTGTACAGAAAGAAGTTAGAAAAGAAGTTATAAGACTGAAAGTTTTGAAGGATATGCTGGCAAGCTTTTGTACTCAGATAACCCCAAAAAAAATCCTCATCCTCAGAAAATCAACCCAAGTGCTCCTCAGTGACCTACCCATCATGTGTTACAGGAATCAAAAGCAGCAGCTGCTGTGGAAACTCAGGTGAGATCTGATGAAGGATGCTGCTTGAATTGCTTACTGAGATTGACCAAATTGTTTCCTAAACAGCTTTAATATTTAATAGAGAATGCTGCAAAGGGCTTGTTGTGCTACAGTTTTATAGCACAATGCCAGCATCAACACGAGCAGAGACAGCAACCAAACAGCGAGCACTGATAAGCACAGCCAAGAATCTGAAAAGCATCTCAGAGATACAGAACAGAGCCAGTGGGACCGAGATGAGGCACCAATTTAAGGAGCTTGTTTCTCAGGGATTAYAGATTGGGGAAAAACACAGGTGTGTTTTCAATGAAGCAGGAACATAAGCAGCAGGATGTGTGGTGTCATTCCTCTTTGCTGAGAAAATGTACATCATCCATTCAGTCAAGGACTGTGGAAATTATCAGCAATATTATGTGCCAAAGTTTAACTTAACCAGAAGTAAAACCAAGAGGAAGAGTTTTGACTTCACTCTTATCAATACAGTTAAGTGGAAATATTGCAATTTTAGCTTTTGTCTTGAATACTWTGTATCACAATGAATGTTCTTTTTGGCAGCTGGTTACAGCTTGGAGAAAAGATTCCAAGTTTCAGGCAGAACCGCTATCTTTTAAGAATTCTAGGGAACATCTGCTCTTACTCATATAATAACCTAGAAGAAAGAGGGCACTGAACAGCAGACACACTGTTCTTACAAGTTACTTAAGTAGAGGTATTGGGTAATTTTTGGCTCCTTTCACCACATCAAAGAGTGTAATGGTTCACATTATAGCACACAGATCTCTTTTCTGTGGCAGTAAAGAGACTTCCACAAAGATAAAGCTGAAAAGGGAATATGCAATGGAAACAAAACTATTCTAGAACCTGGGCCCACGTGAAAGAATGCAAAAGTGCACATAACTGATTACAGATGCCTGCTGATTTTGGGTRSACACAAAGTAGTTTAGGAATGAAAWGTAGTTTAACAGTGGTTTCTGARTGAAAAYGGGAGTSACAACCCCACACCTCGTTACCTGCCCGGCTGCTGGGGCTGAAGAATGTCCAGCAGAAGCTGCTTCACCTCACTGGGGGACATCTGGTACAAGTCCTTGGCTGGCATATCCCCAGCACGGATTTTCAGCTCGTACTTCATAGCATGGATAATCCATCTACAYAAAGGGAGGAATATATTTATTCATTAAATACAAAGTTTCCAAATATGAGGAATTAGTCTAATAAAACAGCTCATAACAATTCCACACAATCCTGCKATTTGGCTGTCAGGACGTGCATAAAATAGCAGACAAATACTCTCCTACTCTTCCTGTTTGATTGGAACATGATACAAACTGAAAAGGATAATATACAGATTTTAAGAATGTGTTGTGAAWGGGGATTTCCATAGAGAAAACTGATTGGACTACATTCCTTATATCCCACGTTATTAAGACCAAACATTTACCTGCCTTTTGATGTTAAAATTCCTACTYGGGATTATGCTCTGTCTATATATGCATTTTGCTGATGAGTTTTAAAAAGCCATAAAATTTGCAATATTTTACATTTACAAAGACTTCAGGGCTTATTTCTAGTTTTAGCCTTTGAAATTCTTTTTTTGCAGTCTATCACACTTTGCTTTTTCTACTCCTTTTTGAAAAAAATTTGATTCAATAAAAATATGGCAACAGTGAAGATTTTTAGCCTTAGGTATCAAAGAGGCAGAACTTGGCMAAGTATTGAAGGAAAATGCCGAGTTTTATTCTGCACATTATGTAAAACCAGTGCTCGAGCCTCTGATGCAATATCAAAGATGAAATAAGGTACAGATACATCTGAAGCAAGCACAGAGCTCTGTCTCCTACCATCTACACCGTTTCAGTTCAAGTAGGCAATACYAACAAAAGGAAACTTATCTGGTTGTTCTTCAAACAGTCCCTAACACCTGATCAAGGCTTGGGTACATCAGAGCCTTTGTGTGTTCATCTGAAAATGCAGCGTATTCTTAAGAGATGTAGGCTGTCATCTCTCTAAACCACACTCTGGGATCACATAATTATTTGGCCAACAAGGTGCAGAATGTTTTCCTTACGTAAATCAATGTTATTTTCTAAGGAATTCTCAGTAGCTATACAGAATTGGAGAKGTCTGGCCAGCTGATTCAATGTTGCTTTCCATTTGAGGTTTCCAGGACCCTGCACAGAGGTCAAGCTACCACGGAATATTAGGGGATATGGGCCCATTCAACATGCAGAATATCCTACTTTCATTGATTTTAGCAGGTGAATAGAGTGCTTCCCTTGTTACCAAGATTAACAACACAACTGGCTCAGGAATTTTTTTCCCACTCATTACTCAAATGAATCTCTCTGTGAGTCCCTCCCTGGTCTTTTCTCTTTGCAGTGGCCTACAAGCCACACCAAAGTCAAGAGTGGACCTTCTGCTCAGCWMTTCACTGATAAGAGGTGAATTCAAGTCAGTTGGCTGGGAGTTTTTACAGTAATAGGGCTGTCAGAAACTTGATCTATTTCAACATGAAACCCTGAAAACAAATCAATAACAAGACACTAAATCAAATCATTATCAAACTGGAACGGCATTTCTGTGAGAAGGTTAATTTTGCTCACTGGAGTGGGTGATAACACTGAAATAAAGGAAATTGAATCTCTAGCATTAACCCTGGGAGAACGAAAAAAAAAAAAATTGCAAAAAGGATTAGCTACAGAGAAAAAAAAAAAAATTGCAAAAAGGATTAGCTACAGAGAATAAGGAAGGGGAGGAAATAGGAGTAACATGGATCTGCAGAGGGGACAGCAAAGCATTTAAGTGCAAAAGGATAGATGTACTTCCAGTTAAAKGTAACACAGGCAATTTTTGGTTTTATGAGAACTGGAATGTACTGCTAAAGAAGAAATATGAATCTTGTGTGCTAGAAAAAAGGCTGCTGTTATCTACCTCCAGTGCTGAAATGCTSTATTTTTCTCTATGGAAAAAAATATGGAAAATGAAACACTTCAGTTCYGATTCGAAAGCGTGCTCACTGATTCTGTAAATCTCAGTCAGTAGCACCTGGCCTCTTCAAAGAAGTGCTTACTCAAATGCAGGTCTCTTCCTAAATGTGAAAAACTAATTAACTTCTGTGGGTAGCAAAGTAAATGCAGATCCCATGGAATGTGACAACACTCCAGCACAGCCTATTTGCAAGTCACCTTGTCACAGAACTAAAGGGAACAGCTGGGAGGTACATGTTGTTCTAACTGTGATTCCAGTCTGTGGTTCTTATGTTGTACACTCCCCTGCAATACCGGCGGTAAGAAAGACAAACAGGCACTTTACTGACCCAATCCGAATCTTCAGCATTCCACTGAACAGTTCTGGGGAATTCGAGATGATCCAGCCAATATGGATGACAAGTTCCTGCTGCACCACAGCTTCTCTTTCATCTTGTAACTGGCATTTTTCATAGATCATGTTCTTAATCACTGCTGGTGATAAGGGGTTAGAAATAACTGCTTCCTCTTGGCCAAAAGCTCCAAGTGTCACCTACGGCACAGTGAAAACAATTCAGACGATACGGGCAGGAATAAAAGCACTGCAAAGCAATTCAGAAACGAAACTGCGTCAACTCTGCTTGTTAAAAATTTCACAATACAAGGGTAATTTTMTGTCAATGGCTGATGCTTGTTAATACTGTTAATTGGATGCTATTGAAGTAATAAACTTCACTAACAACCACAGTAAAYATGGAATCTATTTTTCCAAATTAAAATAAAAATACAAGACCACTGCCTTGGTTATAATCATGACTATAAATTAGCTTTAGACAGTTATATAATTTCATACATTTCAGCTGTGGAGCTCCATTAAAATTCATAATTAAATTTATAGTTTTGTTTTCTTATTCTACTACCATGCTACAAGTTACAGCCTTAATTTTAAGAAAATATATTGCTGGTACTGGATGGTTTAACGACAAAAAAAAAAAAGGAATTTTGTCAAAATTCTGTTTTGCTTTTAATCTACTGTCAGTAAGACAGCAACACTAGTTTTTCTGCTGTAATAAAGATCATTCTTATAAAGTGATCAAGGAAGGAAAGTTAGGTTGAAAAAGTCCAAAAGAGCCTCAAATCATGCTGCATGCAGGTGGAGATTCCTCTACAGCTGAGTAGCGCCAGAAGCACAAAACCAGACCTCAATCTGGAGTAAGACAACGACAACACTGCATATGAGCAAGTATACACATATATTTAATACAAAAATACAGAAATATTCAATTAGTATTATTTGGAAGCAGCTATTCATGAACTTAGTTAAAATTATTGTGCTGGGGAAGAAAAATAACATCCTCCTTAGGAAGGAAAGAAACACTGATGATTCAACTTTCTTTGAAACTGAAAACTAAAACCCTGAAAGACCTTTTGCTCAGCTGCCACCCACGTGCTGTCTTTTGCTCAACACAGAGAGAGTGGTTACATTTCCATTAAAGAAGTCTTTCAAAAGATGCCTTATTACTTCACTCCACCTACTTCTGTGAACTAAAGGGCATATAGAAAAAAACATARAAAGGTTTGGGTRGGAAGGGACCWTAAAGATCATCTCATTCCAATGCTCCTGCTCCAAAGCCAATTCAACCTAGCCTTGAACAYTCCCAGGGATGGGGCAGCCACAGCTTCCCYGRGCAACCTGTGCCAGGCCCTCATCACCCCCACAGTAAAGAATTTCTTCCCAAGATCTAATCTAAGCCAGCCCTACCTCATTTTACAACTATTCCCCCTTGCCCAAAGTCCCTCTCCAGCTCTACTGGAGCCTCTTCAGGCATTGGAAGGGATTCCAAGGTCTTCACAGACACCTTAAACCTAAGGAGTTACAWAAATCACACCTCTTCCCCTCTTTCCTAGATGCTGAATTGTCTTTTCAGTCTTATTCTGTCATTAACTAAAAGTATTACTCAATTCCAAATACAATTATTAAACATATGTTTATTTTCTCTGCATTTTTCCTCCTTGGGAATGTTCTTTTAAGCCATTGGGTATTTTTAAAAGAAGCATCAGAGGYCTTCAAAATGAACAAGCCATTTGTTTAGTTTCTGTTATCATTCCTTAATACATTTCTGAGGAGCAAAGACTTACCTGCTTGCCCTGAACTAAAACATTAGTAATAGATGGTGCAAGGCTGTCCACTAGTTTACCTAAAAGACTTGCTGCGAAGCGCACAACAGACCTGAGGGCAGAAAACAGAGCAATCCCACTACATATCACATGCTAGTTTAATGAATTCAGATAYAAATTTGAAGTCTGCCATAGCAGAGATCTCAAAATTAACTCAGTGAATACATACATTATTTATAAAGTGGAAGTTGGATCAGATTTTATGCAATCTTCTGTAGATTTTCATGTTTTAGTTTAGATATAGGTTAATGGATCAAATATATATTTAGTTAGAACTCATTAAACTACCAGCTCCATAAAAAGCTTCTTGTTCTYTTCTCAACATCATCTTGAACAAAGATTTGACTGGAATGCCAGCTCCTCTTTTATGACATTGCTATTGTTTTGCAAGGTAACTTTGGTAATTTTTAAATCTATTTAAGGAACAGTCAGAAAGACGTTGCAAGAGAAAGTACAACACATAACACCAAGACTTTGCTGTGTTCCATGCTGGGGTAATACTTTGCATATGTAGCATGAAAARAAGAGACTTGTGTCACCTGCCAGGTTAAAAAAAAGCTGTAACTTCTAAGAGACACATTTTCCCATCTATGCAGTTGATGGTTAAAGTTATGAATATATTTAATAATCATTTCCTGACAAAATACAAACCTAACAGACCTGTAATTGAGCTTTTCTGGCACAGATTTTGAGGCTACTAAGAATCATTTATCCACAGAGATAAGGAACAAGCTGTAATATTCTATGGTGTTAGTAAAAAACKCAAACAGTTGACGTTGATTCCTGTGAAAACTGCTACACACTTCTTCAGACCAAGTGCAAAGCATTTCAAAAATGCATTAGCTGATACTATCAAATGCAAATAAGCAAAAAAAAAATCTCACAGAGCTGCACTTCAGATTTCTGGGCACTTTACCTGTTTCCCATGTACCAGTAAAGTAGTAATATGTGGGGTTATAGAAGAAGAAAATTTCTGTGCAAATGCAGCACTGTAGCGCAACACCAACCTATATGTGTGTCACATGGCAATCATGGAAGAGAAATGAAAAATAGTTTACATATTTTGTTTCTAAAAATACTTCTGATTTTATTATTACAAAAAATACCACCAAGGTGTTTTGTTTCTACCTCATTATTGGCAAAGGCCCATTTAACTGTATGAAGAGACAAAAATGAAAAACAGCTTTTATCTTTACTGACCTGTTACAAATAGTTACAGAGWGAGAGAACAGAGTTCAGGACTGCCTTAACTTTGATAAAAAGAAATTAAACTTCTACTGAGCTTCAGGGCAAAGAAATTAATAAACAACATGTAAATATCAACCTACTTGCAGAAATCTTTTAAAGTTATTGTGTCCAAGTCAGCTCAAAGCAAATTACTTCAGGGCAATAAATCTGAGTTAGTGCATCAGCTTAAATGATTTATAGCTGATCACCAACCTTCCTACATAAAGCTGTTGACAATATTTTATCATGCCCTGTAAGAAATAAGAATATTAACATTCTTCTCACATGATTTCAATTTAATGAGGCCTGTGTATTGGCAATAGCACTCAATGCAAAACTAGCCTATCGCTTTCGTATTTTCAAAGATAACAGTAAGAAACTGTTTCTTAATTTTTTAAAGCCTATTAAAGCACACCTTCAGCTGCCATGCACCAATACAATTGTCAGTAAAGCTGTCATTTTTTTTCCCTTTAAGTGGGTGAGAATTCTGCTTTACTTTCTATAAACACATTAGGAAAACAAAATTGGTGTAAACCAGAAGGAACACGATATTTGTATACAAACCAGAGCTTTCTGCTGCCAGCTCGTCTGTAGATTCTTTCAATATGCTCAGCAACAGTACCTAAAGGCATTTAACAAAAAACAGAAACACAAAACACAAGCAAAAAAAGATGCACTGGTTTCCATTTAACAGTAATAAGGTAAATTTGATGAGACCAGTTAATTCTGAATCTGCTTTAGTAAAGCACTTACCTATTATGCCCAACATCTAAAATTCAGATGCAATCAAGTCCCCTGCCTCCCAGTGAATGTTGTTATGAAAGAAGTCAAACCAGATTTCAGCTGAATTTGCTGCTCATGCTATAGAGACACCTGTATCASCTATCTTACAATATACTGGGGGAAATTAATCTACATATAGATTTGGCCTGTAAAGGTACACCCCATCATAAGGTACATYCTCAAACTGCAGAACCCAAGGTTCTGCATCTCCTGGTTTTAGATTGATGTTTATTGACTGTGTGATTATTTAATGTCAGTCTCAGCAGTCTCCAGTCGTAGGATGCAGGGAACGTTTAGTCWGTGACTCAGCCCATTTAATACAAGGCGCATATTAAAAAGGTTATCATCACCCACTACTTCAAACAGGATGGCACCAAAAGGGCTGTACAAGTTMGCTCTGAATACTCAGAGGCACAACTGCACTTTATTTTCACTGAATTGATTTCAACAGAGTTTTTAAGTTCGTCACCATGATTCAATGGTTGTAATGATGGTTGCTTACAGAAGTCAGGAAATCTGCCTCGAGGTATTTCTAGAGCAAAGAACACAACCTACAAATGGCTAAAGAGAGCTCCTGAAACTCCCAAAGCCTCTCAGCACTACAGGGAGCTGGTGGAAAAGACCATTTCAGAGGCTACATGGGCCTAATGTGCAGAGTCCAACCACGACTTGCAACAATGCACTGGGTTCCAGCCAATGTCTTTTATTCCACTTGACGTGGCTTTCCAGTCCTGTGTACAGTTTGGGGCACCACAATATAAGAAAGATAAAAAGACATTAGACAGTATCCAAAGGAGAGATAGGAGGGTGGGGAGGGATCTAGCAGGAAAGCCATGTGAGGAGAGGCTGAGGTCACTGGGCTTGTTGAGCCCAGAGAACAGGAGACTGAGGGGAGACTGAGGGGAGACCTCATCAGGGTCTGCAACACCCGCAGGAGGGGCAGGAACAGATCTTCTCACTCTCATGATCAGTGACAGGACTCGAGGAAACGGCTGGGACTGAGTCAGGGGAGGCTTAGGTTGGATATCAGGAAAAGATTCTTCACCCAGAGGTGTTGGGCACTGAACAGGCTGCCCAGGGCAGTGGGCACAGCTCCAGACCTGACAGAGCTCAGGAAATGTTTGGACAAAGCTCTCAGGCATGTGGGGTGACTGTTGGGCTGTCCTGTGAGGGACCAGGAGCTGGGCTCAATGATCCTTGTGGGTCCCCTCCAACTCATGATATTTTATAATTTTATATATCTATATATGATTCTATCTCTTTTATGACTCTATGATGTCTATATTCTACAGACATTTAAATATAGCAATACAGATAAAACATATGACAACAATGCACCACATGAATCAACTGCTTTATATCAATAAAATTAAGAAGCAGGGCTCTGTGCCATGAGGTGGTAAACCTCACTGCTTGATTTATAACTAAGAGTGTATTATTCTATCTGAATAGCCCTCTTTTTCTGAGGAGTAKTCATATATAAAAAGGCAGCTAATAAGCAATCTTTGGGAAAAAAACAAAACATCAAACTTTACAGCACAAAATCCAAAAGTCTCRGTAGCCTTTTTTGGAATCRCATTACAGRAATTTAGATTCTGTGCTCTAATACRAAGCCATAATACAAAATCAGTTTCACAGATACACTGAAGTAAGATTACATCAAAGCAGAATAAAAATTCAGTATAAAGCGTCATATATTTCAGACTGTTACAGACATACAGACTTATCCTATGTTTCAGTTTGCTTTGTAAGGTCAAATATCCTTTTTTTTAAATCTATGCATTCAAAATTACAACCAGAACCACCACTGTCCTGCAAAGAATCTAAAAGAGTTCACATATTCAGCAGCTCATTCCCCACCATACTATCAATTTGCATGTCCTATTTAACACAGAAATTGCTTTAAATGGCAGAGAAAAGAGCTACACAACTGCTGGCATGCACAGCTATTATTCATGTTCATTGCAACTAAACATACAGCTGYTTCCTCACATACTCAGGGCAGTCAAATGAAAGCATTCTTACCTTCCTTGGTGATAAAATTCGGCCCTTCCCTTTTAAGCAATATACTCGAGAGTAACGCTTGACTTGCCAGGCAATTGCAGTCCTTAAATACAAAACAGCAACAGAACCACAAATAGCCTTCAGATTTGCACTGAAGCAAAACCAGAACAGCTATTAAAAATTTTAGGTGAAACCAAAGGGTCTTTTTTCTTTTCARTTTAAGAAAAAGTCTACATATTTTACTTCCAAGGGGATTTCACAACTATTTCATACTCTGTTTATGCTGTATCCTTGTCACTGCTGCTTGCAGAGGCTTCTCTGTAAATCATATTAAGTTGTAATAACTTGACCTTGGAAAAGTTTCCTGATTTTTTTGTTCTCAGGTACTTTCATTTACAACAGAATGCTTGTAATGAAATGTAATGAATCTGCTAGATTCCCCATACTGTATCAAACAGTAGATCTAGAACAGTTAGTGGTAGTTTTCCTCTAGATACAGGAAAAAAAATGCCAGAATGGAATTATTCTGATGCCATTAAGAAATTCCCAGTCCATTCAAGCATTCTGAATTGCAGTTTGTCAATAAAATATCTATTCATGAGACACACGACAAATGGATCCCTCCTAGAAGTCATTTAGCACCAAAGAGGACTGGGGTAGCTGGGAGAATTGGGAGCCAACAATTACATGTGAAGGGCCGGGAAGTTCTGTGATAAAATAAAGAGGAAGAGTCCCTGAGTATGGAGAGGAAAATCAGACATCTCCTGTTATTAGCTGCACCACAACACTGATCATGTTGATCTAAGTAGGCTGCTGGTAAAAGGAGTATCAGCATAGAATTTCTTATTTCATGAGAATGAAGTTACACTGTACTTTTATCAAGTTTTCTTACATTAAGTTTCTGCAGGATCTCATATGTTGACTTGTTTTTCCAGTCATTAATATTTACATCTGGTTGCTGCTCAAGTTCAGAAGCATTGGGAGTACTAGACTGTCTCTTGACTTTTGAATGTTTTGGAAGATCCAGCTCCTCCAAACTCTTAAATACAGGAGCCCTGAAAAATAAGTATTTAATTCCTTTATAGTTCAGAAAGTATTTTAATTATCAAATAAGTCATCACTACTATTTACACATGGCCTTACTCTTCTGTTTCAGTGATCCTTAGGAAGTCAAGTTGTTCAACAACTGCTCCAGATATTAATGTCTGAAATGAAAAATTGRAAACAAATTTAAAAACATGTACATAACTATGTAGCTATCAGTATGTTGATGGTGGTACCCATTGAGAAAGCAGTTTGTTTATTTACAGTTCCAAATGTTTTTACATTTTCAGAGTATTTTACCTCTTTCATGAGCAAAAAGACAGCTAACACAGCAGAAGTCTCCTGGGGCTGCTGTCTCCTTTTTGCTCGTGTTCTGTTCTCTTGCCCTGCCCTTCACTAAGCAATGTCCACCCCSCAACAGCCAGGTCTGATGAAAACTCTTGAGCTGGAGGATTTGGTGCCCTCAGAATCCTGCACAGTCCCCATGTTCTGGATCACAATGCTCATTATTCCAGGGCTGGCTGAAGCATGGGCCGTTTTCCTGTCAATCTCACTGCTGATTCAGGCAAACACTGCACAAGAGCATTCCCACCCTCTATTCATTCCTTAATCCAAACATGCCTGCCCCAAGTTTGCACATCAAATGCAGCTTACAAATACTTCCATCTCAAAAGATTACATATCCAAAACTCAGTGTGGCATTATCTGATGTAGTCATTACAATTCATTCACAATTCATTCACTCTGAATTTCTATGAATTCCCTATTTATCCACTGCCAGAGGAAAGGTATTGTACTACAGCATTTTTAAGGCTGTTTTTGATGGCTCTCATTAGCTAAATAAAACTGAGTGTGTTTTGTGAACTTTTATATTCCATTTTCATTGTACAAGAGTTGCAGTAAAACATTGATCTGTTACGCTGTGAGATGACAGAATATAAAAATCCTGCTTTGCTTTTATTACTGGTGCCATTCATTCTTTGCCTTGCACATCTGCTTGAACACATGATGATAATGAAGGTAAGAATCAGAAGAGAGCTACAAATCTGAGCATACAAAATTTTAAATCGAATCAGATTTGGTATCTTTTACAGGAAAAAAATAGCATTCACCCAATTAGAGACACACATTCTTTGTAGGCATGTTTAACATGTGCACCCAAATGAAGCAGCTGAACACAACTCACAAAGATCAATATATACTTTGTGGGAAAAATGAATTATTCAAGAAGMCACCATTATTAGATACGTCCCTTGCTCTTTTCTCTAGATCCTCCCTTATAATGAAACAAGGCTGTTAATAAAATGTGWCAACTGAGCAGAAAGACAGAGATTCCAGATCAGCTGCTGGAGAAAGCACATGGTATTCCAGCATCTCCATTGGCCTTCCAGCCAAACAAACATTAGTTTGTAGTTTTCCCATGTGCTCTTTTTAGTGGTTAACAAACAAAGCAAAGACCACTCGCTGTCAAYACCTTAAACCCTTTCAAACTACTCCTTACTTTTCATATTAAAAAAGGATCTTTCCAGAAGGTCAATGAGTATCAATGGGAAAGTTTACTCCCTGATGGCTATCCAGTGTAGTGTTTAAAATAAAGACAACACAGGTAGATGGGAAATGTCCTGCCTGATAATACACCAGATGAACCAATGCAAGGTGAGAGAGTCATTGCAGTTGAATTAAAAAAAACAAACAAACAAACAAAAAAAAACCAAACAAACCAAACCACAACAACAACCCTGTCACCAAATGAAAGGTTTTCCATGGACAGTAAATGGCATTTGCTATAGGAAGAATCAGTGGTACCAGGGGAGAGTACATGACCTATGTGTGATCAGGAGAAATACATAAATACTTCAAGATTCTGAGATCTTAAACCATAACAGCTAGGAGCATTTCCTTTACTAATGACTCAGCTCTTCTACAAGTTAATGATTTTCTAGGGAACAAGAAGTCATTACACTGTCTTTGGTCTTCATCCTCACAAAAAAAAAGGTAGTTCAATAGGTGTACACTAAGATTAACTAGCACATTGGAGTATGCAAAATCAGCACCTGTCTCAGTAATTTTCACATTTYAATGAAGGAATGTTCCTGCTTTAAGATTCATTCAAACAGCAAAGATGTTAAAACTAGATCTTAGTTCTTGCAAGAATTTTAATACATGCAAAGCACCTTTTTCCCCCTCTGTGATTACCTAATCAAAAGAAATCCCTCAGTGCTTGACACCATGGCTTTACCCTTTAGTAGTAATTTCACAAGATTGCCTAACAAAAAACACCCTTTTCCCTTCTGAAAATCCYCTGTGAAGTTATGACTTTCAAAAGACTCATCAAAAGGAATTAAAATAAGCCCATGTTTCTTTTGAGACAAAACAAACAGTACCAAATGTCTTGAGTCCTGACTCCTTACTTTTAGGAATCTAAATAAAGTCCTTAGATTCTAAGGACTAAGAATACATGTACCAGCACCAGGAGGTAAGAACACAACAGTCAGGAAGAACATCTTACCTGTACTCTGTCAACGTGAACTTTCACTCCTCCAACAACTCCCTTTCTAAAGGCTGCCAACATATCTAATATTGGACTGAATCTGCTCCCTCTGAAATTTGAAACACAACTCCATTAATGTTGCAATTAGGTAAATTCCAAATCCCACAGTGCCAATCCTGCTTTTCTCTCTCCCCACCTTATGTTGTCTTCCCGGATCAGTACCACAAACAGGGGCCGGCCGTGCATTTTCCAGTACTGCTTAATGAACTGCAGGGCATTCTAGGCAAGAAAGAATGTCAGTCACAAAACATCCCCAAACCACAGCAGGAGCACAACCCACCAGAACACACYGTACAAGGCAATGGAAGACCTAGAGCACTGAAAACCCCAATGTTAAAAACACCTTAGCTACTGAAGCACCAACAGATTTCTGCAGCAGCTACAAGCTGCTTTCAAGCCCTGCWATTTCCTAAGTGTACATTGGTTCTCCCCAAAAAACAAGTGATAATTTGCTTGCTGCCCTACAGCATTCCCYGTAACTTTTGGGGCAGTTTTTTGTCACATGAAGGTGCCTACTAGAATTCATATTGGGCTGATGGGTTATTTGTCATTTTCTAGCTGCAAGTTAATTTTTGTATYACAATAACATACACTGTGCTGTGTGTATTACTCCCCTTCAGGCTTCTGTTTTATCAGACTGCACAGTTTATTCTTCTACAGGCTATTTTTACCAGTTAGTCAAAAAAAAGTTACAAATACCTTAATGTCATCAATCAACATCATAACATCCTGAGACATGTAGAAATCACTGAGATCAAAAATGATCGAGTAGCAAACTACAGTCTTCCCTAATATTCGATAAATCTGTTGAGAGAGAAAACTTCCATTAATCTTTTCTTTAAAACATTCATAAGAGCCAAATACAAGGACTTGAAAGTCAGATAAATACATAAATTATATTAATTTCAATTCTATATTAATTTCAATTCAAAACTACACAGAGACTAAATGTTTATTTAAAATATTTATCACTAATAAGAATATAAACTTTTCTTGCAACAACCTTTGACGTTCCAAGGCATCCTATAGGTCTGTCTGGTCTTCCAGATAATCCCAATTTCTCATTGACTCCCAAATGGAAGTAAGCCTGTGAGAAAGAATCATGAAAATTGATAAAAACCTAGACACCAGCCTTTCTCATGCTCCTGCCACATCTCACAAAGAAGGCTGTGTGCAGTCTGCTTTGATTAGAAAATGACTCMGAAAATGTGGCTGTTATTTCTGTTCAGGGTTGGAGTTTTTTAAAAACACTTGTTGCTTCCTATATTAGATCTTCTTTATAACTTCTTGCTCCTATTACTTTTTGAATCTATGTAAGTAAAATATGTATTGATTTTCTAAATTGCTTATAGCAATAATTTTTTAAGGATCATTTGCATTTATTATCTGGCCAATTTTGCCTTCTGTAAAGCTTTTCTAGTGTGGATACAAAAGTGAAAGAGTTATAYAGGAGCCTTTTAAAGATCTTTATTCTAATTTTAGTACAAATCCGGAAAATTAAAGCATCAGCAACACAAGCAAGAGGGAATTATCTCATTATTCATAGCTTGATTCTTATTAGAGTTATGTATGCCTAGCATTACTTCAACTGATACAATTTTGAAAACAAAATCTTCATTTATTACAATGTATGAGAATAAAACATAAGAAAACAACTAATCTCTGAGCAATATAGCATAAATGTATCAGTTAAACCTGACTGAAAGATGTAATTTTTCCTTATTTGGCCTGTTTTAGGTAAGGAGCCCATCATTACTTCAGAATATTCAGAATTCYGAACATTTTCTGAAGTTCAATCTTTCTTTATGTTACAGGAAGATAATTCAGAAGCAAATGAAAGCAAACACTTGAACAAACATTACACTCAATAGCTTTTTATTGTTGTCAGCTTRGGGCCTTCCTGATCCTGCCCATGTTTCTGCAGTAATACCAAGAACTATTTAAAAAAGAAAATAAACAAAATTACCTACATGACCTGTTCATCCAGAGTAAGGAACTGTATTGAAGTGGGAAAGGAATGGAGACATCAGAACACTAATAGCTTTCAATAATCCTGCATACAAAGCCAAGCTATGTTGAAACYCTTTTTGTGGTAAATAAGGGAGATTGGAAGGATGGCAGTAGATAGGGCAATTGAACACTAAAAGGACCTTCATTTTGCTGGAATGCAAAACATGAAATGCTTTCTTAACAAAAGCAGAACTCCATTAGCACTGTAACATCRTCTCTCTCCTTGAAGACTCTTCTGCTGGAGGCCTCACGTTGATACACAGGRTACTAAAGCAGTTTGCCCTTCCAGTGATACTTCTCCATCCTGAGCTTAACCAAAGTCCAGATGCAGCAGCAGACACTGAACACTGCACAGTTTCATTCAAAGTCCAGCTGCTTCAAGCACCTTTGGTTTTTATTCAAATGCCCTTCAATTCTGGCTTACTAAAGCTGCTAATTGCAAGAAATGGCTGTGAAAGCAGACTGGGCTGCTGGGTTGATTTATGACCATGAGTCAAACTGCAGTGGTCTTGCACAGCATCTGTTYCTGTGCTCCCTTTTCTCCTCTCAGTCCTTGCCCAAGGGGTATTCTGCTCCTCTCCTGAGCTGTACTTCCACTCCAGGTGTACTTTTTTCCTATGTATTACGTGTCTCTTGTCCCACTTTATTGTTTATCTCTTTTYCTCTTTTCATTCCCCCACTGTCCCCACATTGTGGATATGTTTATATGACTTCAAGTTCTACTTTCAATCCCCATCCATTTGTTTTACAGCACTTTTTAGGACACATGCCTATTAATAAGTCCAGAGTTYTAACTTGCCATGTGCTACTAGAGCAGTTCAAAAGTTTCTAATTAAATTAAATACTCCTTAGAACTGACAGCATCAGAGTAGGAAATACTGAGATTCATATTTTCCATGGATTAACCTTCTATTCCCAAAATATGATTGCTCCATCATTGGCTTCCTCTCTCCACAATGGATGACAAATACTACCAGGAGTTTTTGTGTGCTTGCTTTCTGGCTTATCTTGGCTATTGGCATAAGCCCAGAGATCAAACCCAGTTCTCCTCACACCCTAAACACTCTCTTTACTTCACAGGTCTTGCAGAATTTATTAGAAGCCCATTAGGAAGACATTTTCTATCAGCTGAATTAATATTTTCATAGCATTCCTCTTAAAAGTAAATGTTGATGAGGCAGATGTACCTACCCATCATGAGAATAAAGGAAGAATTGCCAGATGTCTCAGCAGCTTCAAAAAATAAATCCTAACACAGACATTTTTGTAGATACTAATTTAATTGATAATAATAAAACTTAATTAAGGTCTCATCGTTTTGTCAGGGAAACCAAAGAAGTGATGGATGACAGAGGGACAATATACACTCCTATAGCAAAGATATGGAGTATTCATTTGCTGAAGCAAATTTTCAGGCACAGAATTTCAGGACAGATACAGACAAAGAGAACATATTTTGGAAATATGATCATGAAAGCTAGTGAGCAAAAATGGGTTCAGAAATGAACAAGGATGAATGGACACATAGCTATTTCTCTTTTCTATGTTTTAGTGCTTCTCAGGTGTTAGTGGCAGCCGTTATTTGGGGTAAGCATTTTCTTGCATGAGCCACAGCCAGGTTTAGAAAATCCATTATCCTCACAACTTAAGAAATCTGAAATATATTGCTATATTATCTATTTTTGAGTTTACTTTTTTTTTTCCTGTGTCCTACAGGCTCCTGATACAGAYAATGGCCTTGGCTATGTGACCTGGTTTCTGAGGGAGAGCCCCACACAGTGATCTGTTCTACAACTGGGGCCCCAGAGCTGACTAACAGAATATGGTCACTGTCCTTGCCCCAGACATTGATCACTCTTGCTTGAGAGCATTTGCACAACTCAAGGTCAGTCAGGAGCTTTGTGTACCTGATCTACAAGCAGGAACAGGGGGCCAGCCTAGGACTGCAGGATGTGGGTGTCCCTTAAGAGATTTCTTGCTCCATAGAAAAGACTTCAGGGAGGATGGAGGGGATTCTGAAGATGATCCTTCACCCCAGTAATTTCTGACTGGGTTTTTAAATGTGGTCAGCCAAAGAAGTAAACCAAAAGAGATTTCAAGACCAAAACTTCCTGGGTATAGTCAGTCCAAGGGAAAACASTGACAGAGATCTGGATAATGCTTGTGACAGGAACATACGAAATTCTGTGATGGTTTATGCCTACTGCCTTAACCCATTTCTTTGACTATTGCTCATTTGCTTGTTTCTACATCAAGATTCATTTAGTTTACCAAGCTACTGATATTATTCAAATGTTATTATTCATTCATTCTACTTTGAAAGTGGCTCAGGTAATAAGCCTAATCAGATAATGTAGAACATGTGGGATCCCACATCTCCCTGAAAGCTCCAGGCATCTGTAACCTCCACTGCCAGCCTTGCAATTGCATTAGGAGAACACACAAAGGTAACAGCTTAGGGAGATACAAGGCTAATAGCTTGATATMAATTCTTGTTTTTACAAAAGAAATATGCAGATGGATAAATAATGTCAAATGCAGAATTCCTTACTTTGACAAGTTCTTTCTGAGCCCATATCTGAATTGGTTCCACCTGCTGTGGGGTCTGAGTTTGGATTCCATACGTGTTCAGAAAAACTTGTAGGCTACAAATGAAATATGAATAAAATTAATGACAAATCCCAGGACAGTTTTAACAATTATCTTGGCAGTAGACATATACAAATAGCAGATTTTTATTCTACACAATTTCAGATGCATTGTTCAACCCTTCCTCAATATAYAGGTACTTAACAAAAATAAATACATACCGCTGGCTTTCTGCTATCAGGGCCACATGGACCACCAAATCATTTTCTAAAGGACCCTGGAAAATAATGACAAAATTATTACTAGCATTGCTAACTGAAGATTTCATTCAATACAGCATGACCAAGGACAATGGCTATTTAAACAATTCACAACTATGACAGCCATCACTGTCTGCATTGCTTTTTCTTATGGCGTAAGCAAATTGAAAGACTTGTACATCTCAAGACTATAGGAAGCCTGTCCTACCAATAATATTCTGCACAACACATTTTGGAGAATTAGTAATAAATAGATTTTTGGTAATCATTCAACTGTTTGGATTAGTTTGGGTTTTATTTTTTTTTAATTAAGAAGAACTACATAGGAAAAATATTTTATTTCATACAAAAATTTAGAATTTATCCAATCAATATAATAGGTCTAATATGACCTAATATTTGATACTATTTTTGTAATGAGAGGAATTATTCAGCTTTTTGGGTAAACAATAAAATTCACTTAAAAATAATGACTTGATGATTTCAACCTTTTACTCTGAAAAATTGTCATCAGACAGCTACTCTTTATTGGCATAAAAGATATATTACATTTTACAGGAGACAGCTGCACTTCTTTATTGCATTGTTTATTACACAGTTACTTCATGTTTGAAATAATACTRATATTTTACATCAGGAAGCCATGCAAATAGGAATGAGTTCAACGTGTTGGATGAAATCATTGACTTGACTCCCTGGGTCCTGAACTGGCAATTCACCTTTCCTGTCACAGAATGGGCTRTGAACAACAGCCCTGGTCCCTGCTCACCTCTCTGGCATTCAGGGACTGTAAAATAACAGAACTAAGAGCAGCTCACACTTTCATTGTTAAAATGCTTTTTGTCTACTTTTGTCTAGAAACTACCAGAACATGAAYGACAGAAGTTAAACACATCTCCTATCGATTGTATGAAAAGATAGCATTTTTTGTGATGACAGAAGGATAGGCATTGATTTAGAACAAGAAGTTCCAAGGGAACACTTGCATGCTCAGGCAGCTGTGAGCCTCGATATCAATCAAGATCTTAGGGATTTGCAGAAGAAATTCCTGGTAACATTTTCCCAGAAGTCTGTCAGCATTACATTTGCACTAAAAATTCTGGACTTTTTGCCCCATAAAATGAGTTTGTGATGAAAGTATGTGCAGAAAGAGACCAGATGAAGAAGTCGGAAGTTCAAGCGACATTAAAAGCTTTTCCTGCTCAGAATAAGATCATTGTGCTATCACTTGCACTTATRTAAACAGTAGGAAAACTCAACTCAATCCTCAGCCGTAACCACTGTGTGTAAAACAAAAAGAAAAAGTCCTCCCACCTGAAAACGGGAGCTCCTTTCAAGACTGTTGGTTTGTAGACAGCCTGCGATCTAATTTGGGCAGTGACCTTCAAATTAAGACTCAATTCTTGCCTCTCAATAAAGAACTCAGCAGGACTGTGTAACCATTGCCTGTAAATTGTACATAGCCCATGTGCTCTGCCCCACACACAGACATGATTCATTTACAGCAATAAATGGTGGTTTAAACACAGGCCAGAAACTACACAAATGCATCTACAGCACAACTGGCACAACACAAAATCTGTGTGAAAAACAACTAGATCTTTCAAAGTATTGTGGAAAAAAGATAGCTATAATTGCAGTACAACTACAAGATTGCTGCAACATTAAAGAGAAAGTTACTTTTATGGTCATTTGACATGTCACAGCCTGGAGGATCAAAAGTAGTGGCCTAGAGAAACATAGATCAAAATAATAGATAAAAAAGTAAGTCACCCTTTCCAATGATTGTGCTATATAGCATTTGCTGTATATTTTTTTTAAGAGATAAGGAAAAGCATTAAACTGCTAAATATTTCACTAAATAAATCCTGTTGTCTTGGCTTTCTCATCTGTCTAATTAAGRCCAGCTCAGGTATTGTTCCCCACAACATCAATCACTGTCTCCCCAAGACAACASAAGAGCCCCCCTGCCCAGGTTCCCCTCCTGCCTTGTGTTTCCACCTTGGATGCTCAGCAGAAGGGTTGGATTCAACTGCATTCTGCACGCTGTGCAGATGATAAATATACCTCAGAAGAACAAGATAAAAGACTGATGAGTTGTTCTTCCTCTCCAAAAAGGAGAATAAAAAAATAAAAAAAAAAAAAAATCCTTGTTTCTAACAAGGTTATAAACTGTCGGAGGTAGGATAGAGGGAAAAATCCCTCACTCCATTCTGGCACAAGCAGAGCAAGCAGCTCAGTATCAGTCTTTGCTACACTCTCACTGCACAGATGTTATCMCTATATGCCTTTCTGCTTACATTGCCAGGAAACCTCAGAGCTCTGAAAAAACCCCATTCATTCTGGGCATGGGAGAAAGGGGGCCCAGCAATGAAGAGCCCCAATGGAAACAGCACCCACTGAGCCTCCCAAGCACACAGAGCAGGGAGGGGCAAACAGGAACAGAAATGAGGCTGCACTTCACCCCAGAGACCCACCTGGCTGCTCCTGAACACTCCCAGCTGACACAGAGCTGTGCTGACCCCCTGTGCTCATTGTCACTGACTCTGCACACCCTTAAGTCAAGCACAGCACATGTATGTGCCTCCAATTCCAAAAGAGCATTTGGCACATTTAGAATTTTGTGTTAAAGGTGGTAGACAATTGTATTAACAGGAATGAAAGCAAGAACATGTTTATAATTAACATGACAAAAAAAATAATCCAATATGGTTTCATCCAAATTAGACAKGCTCTAATCCTAAACACAAAAATCTTAAAATATCTCAGTCTATCTACAATTAATAATKTTAGTTCCTTCTTTACACATTATCTATTCCCCTGAAAATAAAAAATACAGTATTTTTTGACTATTCCCAATTCTCTTCATCAACAGGCATTCGTCTTAATTCCCAGAAACTGAAATGAAATCCTTACAAATAATTGCTAACTCCACCCAGTAAAACATTAAAAGAATACAGTCATCCCATGCAGAGAATTCAGTTAATTAACTGCAACCCTAAACGCATATTTCAGCTTAACCCAGAAGATAAATTAGTCCTATTCTGGCAATTTAGTCAGATTATGATTTTTTGTTAAAGATGAAATTATGACAGCAATAAATCAGCTTTTACAYGCTCCAGTAAAATCCAGAAAACCCCCACCCTATCGTATTTCTCAATTGTTACCATCCAGACCCTCTTCTAAGTACATGCTCCCAAATCAGAATGCAACAACCCAAACTGARTTATAACCTCTCCTGAATATGGAGACAGCAAAGAGAGTAACAAAACAAGCTCTTCTAAGGAATCCAGTCCTAAAGTGTGACCCTGAATCAGTATTCCCTGCATTATCCTCTTTCAAAGCAAACAGAGTAGGGATGATTCCATTTTTTTGAACTCCTGAAAGGGCTCTAAGCTGACCATTAGCATTGCACARCAGAGAAAGAACCTTTGTGACTGCTGTTCAACTTCACTGTGTTTTGGATGACAGACTAAACCCAGCAAAGAGAGCCCTGCTCCAGCACCACACTGGCACTTCCCCAAAGGGAACATATGGACACAGCCTCCTGAAAGTGGAAAATAATGGGTTTTGGCATTGAATTAGGAGAAAAAAACATTTCCTTCAAACTATAAACAGACAAAATTAGTATTAGAGGCCATTACATTTTTCTGTACTGCTCATTTGATTCCTCAGTTTTCTACAAGCAATGAGTTTTCTGATTTGCTGATGTATTCACAGCTGTAATTATGCTCAGTTCTAAATACAGTTTTCATAGCACTTTTGCCTTTGTAGGTCTATATTACCTTACTTTCCTTTAACTAGTTCTTCACTGATATTTCCAAGTTGTAAAAGTAAGGTTGGAATATTTTAAACACTTTCCACTGCTTGCTTAAATCTACACTATCATGTGGGTATCAGCCATATTTCTGGAGTGACACCAAAGCCACAAATAGATTCAATTAATCACATTTTTCAGTGGCAAGTGTTTAGAGTTTATAGYCAATGCAACCACAATATGAAAATATGCCTACATGGAAAACACATTTCTTGAAGAAATATTTACTCAGCAAGAGCTTCAAATAAAAATTTTAAAAGCMTTCTTTTTGGTGCATCTCCTTTCAAAACACTGTATCACAATGAGATTTATACAYACAAGCATCTGAAATTTTTACATATCCTTGTTTATTGCTTACAGGAATAAAAATTAATATAAGTGGAAATACTTTTCTGTTCAATTTCATTGAATAATTTTTTAGCTATATGAAAAAGAGAAGCTATCATTAAAGAGAAGAAACAACTTTTGATTTCTGAAGACATCATTAAGATGTGCTGTGTTCTCATTTTGCATGGTATTTTTAGTCATTTTCCCCGCACTTTAAGGCAAATACTAGATACTGATTTTGMATAAATTAGCTCAATTAGATTAAATGGCATAATCAAATGCTCAGACAAACCGGTTAAACAAATCTAAAATGTGGATTAGAAAAAGCCAAACTCAAGACTCTCGGCTGGAACTTGAAGACTTTTGCTGATCCAGCTCACCCGAGTCATGTCAGGACATCTTTGCATCTTTAACCTTCTCTTAAGGAGGACCCATTTGACATCTGCATGAAGGAACACTTTGCCCTGATACTGCTGTTATTGTAAAACCACTAAAATACTGCAGCAGCTGTTTCAGTACAAACAATTCCAAACAAATYCCATACCCCCCTAGCTGGTCTTAGAGGACAAGACTCATTCTGGTCACCATTCCTACACTGCTGCTCAGAGGCTACAATGCCAAAGACCTGATGGCACARTCTCCATTTCCCACTAATTCAGGACATCCTTTCCTTCTAAGCCACATCAGGAAGCACATTCTGGATAGGTYTGGCATTTACGTATCAAAGAAATGCATGCGTGGTTACCTATGGCAAAGGATATCACCACTGGGAAGAACAGAGCTACAAGCAGACCTAGGCACGCCCAGAATTYCCTTCCTTCTTCATGCATTGTTTGCAGATGAGGCAAAAGATCAAAATGCAGCTGTTGAAGCTCTTTTCAATGCATTCAACACTGTTGACTTTTAAAGTTCCTATTATATTGCTGAATTTCACTGGGCACTTTGCTAAGTTCTTTATTGACTCACTAAGCGGCCCCCAAGGAGTAAGTGATGAGAAAACAAATTATCACTGTATTATTTATTATCACTTTTGGGAAGCTCTCAGGGCAGAGGCTATTTCTCTCTGAAGATCTGGAAATTGCCTATCACATACTGGGTCCCCCAAATAGTACTGAAAATGCTTTTCTACCAAGACATTTCCTGATGAGTCACAGAGTGCCTTTAGAACAAAGYCTCATCTTCTTCAAAGTGTTCAGCTGAGGCACATTAAAAGTGACTGGTTTGAAGGATCAAAGAGAGAACTGGAGGGGCTGCAGCACCCCTGACTCAATGCAGGCTTCTCCCGAGGGCACTCCTGAAAGGGGCCGTGGCACCCTGAGCACACAGCTCCTGCCCCACTCATAACCCCAGGATGGAAGAACAAACAAAGGAACCAGGAACAAATGACATCACTGAGCTTTCATTATCTCACATGAACATGGCAGAAGGGCTGCACGTGAACAATGAAAGTCTCATTATGAATGAACCAACAGCCAGGCACGTGGATTACCTTGGTAACAGGAAATAGGAGCAAACTGAGGGTAAAAGCAGCATTTGGATAGAACAARAAAAACATCATTCAGTTCTGAACTTGGAGTCAATCTTAAAATAAATATTTCATCTTTTATGCTTCAATAACAAATTCACAATGCTGAATGAGGAACTTCTTAAATATAGATTCCTTATATCAAGAAATAAAAAGGCKGAGACATCTTTTAGCTWCACATTTCCAKACATACAGTTCTTACCTCTARATAACAGAAGTCGCCTACATACAGACATGTATGGATCTTGCTATCCCATCCACTACAGATTTGAATTACCCTTTTTCAAGCACTCCCCATCCCTGGCCACCCATTCCTGCTGTGCATTTAATCCCAATATAGGAGCACACAGAATCCCAGAATCAYTAAGGTTGGAAAGGGCCTTTACAATCATTAAGTCCAACCACTGAGGCAGCACTCCTAAACCCACCACTGAACCCTGCCCCKAAATGCCACATYTGMACATCTTTTGAATACCTCCAAWGGTCCTGTCTCARTAAGAGAACCTCATCCTTGTAGCTCTTAGGAGCTCTAAATACAAGAAATATTAATACGTTGCAGTTGGAATGACTTTGAAGGAATAAGAAAAGTAGGCTCATTCTTGCCTTCCTGACATAACTTACAACTCAAAGACACATACCTATTTATTAGCAGCTATTTAAACTTACGTTTTATCTATCATTTTGACTGCATCACTTAATTTSAAGGCAAACATGCATCACTTCCCTAAAACTGCAGATGTTATAATCTTCCTTTTCAAAGCAMTCCTCCATCAATTCTGAAAATGTACATACACTGAATATTTTCCTTGCACTTTATCTGCAGTATTAGAGGACCATATGTGGCACTTAGATGACAATTTTTCCAGTAAAATATACTGTAATACTAAGGTAATGCTTACCTGATTGGAAAATCTCATGCTAACRTTCCGCTGGTCCTGGGGGGGTACGTACCGGCCAATGGGGTCGAGATCTTTAGGACTCACTAATTTGTCAACTGAAWGGAAATGAGAATAAAAACACAAAATGACTTGAGTCGTTTCTGCAGCTTTTGTGAAAAAGCCATGTCAGCTTAGGTATTGGAGGTGGTTCTGATTTGTTCTAGATCAATGACTTATAAAAGGACATTCTGAAAAATTTAGAATTTTATTAATTTTAAAACTAATGACTCAAGCATTGTCCTTGCTACAGCTAATTACAATACTGTGATATGGAAAAAGAARTCTTTATTTGCTCACAAAGATATGTTAATATTAGCAGACAACAGACTCCACAACACATAAATCATGTAAAAAGCCCTTAATCCACAACCATCAAATTGTTCTAGAGCTTTAACTATAAACTCAGTGGCCACCAAAAACTGTTTAGCTTTGAAGAAAAGGAGTCTCTATGTCCAGGTAATCACATGACTTGAATCCTGGAAAGGGCAAGAGAGATCAAAGATACCTCTAAATATGGTATCTAAAGAAAAAATTGTAAAAAAACTTGTTACAAATATTGCGAATCTACCATTTCTACATGGAGTTTTTTATATGGGGGGGACCCCACCAAACCTGAAAGCCAGTATTTTAACCTCCTGAAAAAAAAATTAAGCATTCCAATAAAAATATACTATTAAAAAGTTCCAACAAATTCCTTGAATACAGGTTCATAATCCAGTATGAGCTATTACACCCTTAAAATAAGCATTCTTCTACCAAAATTATATTTTGACAGGAAACTGTCCAAACTCCATCTAATTTCTGCTACAGAGTAAGTCACAACACATTTTCATTTCTTCTGTCTCAGAGTCAACAATTTGGTAGCTATTCTTAAAAGGCCCAACAKGAGGGAATAAGGCACGAATCTGAACCAGAAGTGACTCATGGCTCCACGGGGCTCCAAGGGAAAAGCAGCACTGCTGCCTTGGGAAGGGTGTTTGTGAGCACAGGAAGGCAGCAGCTGAAAACTCAGCCTGTGCCCAGCCTGGACCCTGTCAGTGCCAGCACTGACCATGATAGATGGAGCAATGAGAAGTGACCACACGGACAATGAAGGGCCCTGCCTGGGCAGTGCCAGCAGTGACCATGATAGAGGGGGCAGTGAGAAGTGACCACATGGGCAGCAGTGAAGGGCCCTGCCTGGGCAGTGCCAGCACTGACCATGATAGAGGGGGCAGTGAGAAGTGACCACATGGACAGTGAAGGGCCTGCCTGGGCAGTGCCAGCAGTGACCATGATAAAGGGGGCAGTGAGAAGTGACCACACAGGCAGCAGTGAAGGGTCCTGCCTGGGCAGTGCCAGCACTGACCATGATAGATGGGGCAGTGAGAAGTGACCACATGGGCAGCAGTGAAGGGCCCTGCCTGGGCAGCACCAGCAAAGCCCTGGGGAGCGTTCTGTGCCGGGAGCTCTGGCAGCCGTGGCTGCTGGCCTGTCCCTGCCTTCTGCTGGGACAGTGAGCTGGACTGCAGCCAGGACAGGCTCTCACTGCTCCTGCAGGGCCACCTGCCGTGGACACAAACCCACGCAAAGCTGGATGAGAAAAATCACGATGGATAACTGCTTAATAATAACTGATTAATACACTGCCATGTGTATTAATGCTACCAAGCCGTATTGGAGCAAGCTGCTCATCTAAGCTCCACTCCACACAGAATTCTTATGCTGCCTAAAGGAACAGAAATTACTTGAAAAATGTAAAGTGCTGCTGATGCAATAAAATGAATTAACCAAATCATTTCAAGACCAATAGGCTCTGCCTCATACCTCTTAAGAACAAGAGAGGTTTCCAGAATGTGTTCTATTCCCACCGGTTTTAACTCTGATTTACATTGCTCAGTATTAAAATATATGGTCAGAATAATTTYATATTTAGAAGAACTATATCAATAGACCAGTATAAAACTTAAGCTAACTCCTAATGAATATTCATCACCATTAYCACAAATACAAGTGTATCAGACTGCAGAAGCAGAATCCTTTGTTAGCTCATTACCTGCATCTGGCAACTTTTAATCAATTTGGTCAATAAAAAATATTGCTAGAGCTTGGTTCTAGACAGCCCTGAGTCCACAAAACAAGATACAAAATTCTAAGGGAAAACGAAAGAGAGCTACTAAACAAAAAATCAAGTGAATTTTCAGTTGCATGAAGCAGCAGATTCCGTTCCCTTGGTCCAAAATGGGGATCTTAACACAGAAGTTTTACAAACCTCCTCATCCAAAGCAAGAAGGAAATTCTATGAAAAAATAGCATCACTACCTGMAAAACACATTTTCTTCATAAACAAGTTTTTCAGTTGCCTAAAYACGAGGTGCCCTCCAACACTGACACGCAGACACTTTCACTGCCTCTGTTATTCAGAGCGTTTGTAAGCAGATCAAAATTCTGACTTTCCTATTTCTGTTTGCCCCTCTGTGGGAGGATAAGATTTGACTCAGGTTCATGGTGCTGCATTTAGAAACATTTGGASCTCCAGAGGCAGAGCCCAGGCCCGGAGACAGCAGCAGGAGCTACAAAGGTGATACCGTGGGCTGCCTRCACAACAGGAGCGAGGAGGCTGAACAAACACAAATTAATTGATACCCTGGAGGCAACACAATGATTTCTGAATGGTTAATGAAATGGGAAACCAATACCTTCCCAGATATCAAAGTGTTTGGAGCCAGACTTTCACTTAATTAGCAACCACCCACAAGCCAAGTAACACACACAAACACTTCCACCAAGGACAAGATTGTTATTCAGGTAGGTTTTCACCAGTAAGGAGCAAAATTGAATGCACCAATTCTAAATTAGTATGAAAAAATCGAGTTCCTGATAAYAACTACTGGTGAACAGACTTTGCTATAAGACCTCCATACCATCTTTGCAAGGACGATACAATGGGAAAAAATTATTTCAGAATTTTGAAATCTTAGGAAAAAAAAATTAAAAGCAGTGTTTAAGAATGTTCAGCAAAGAACGGAAACACAGGAATGTTATGTTATACAAACAGTTAGCAAATACTATAAATACATTTGATTTAACCAGCATTCTGCAGGTACAGAAATACACAACCATCAGTACAAGTCAATAGTAGCACAACTACTACAGTATACCTACACCTACACGGTTGAGGATTATTTGACAAATACTCTCAGAAGATTTTTTTTATTATTAACAGTGAGATTGCCTGCATTTACTTTAAAGTGTTGGCTAAAAGAGGAATTTTGCAAGGAATACAGCAAAACCAAACAGGTGGAGTACCAGACAGACACTGTCCCTCCATACCTAAAGATACATCCACTGTTCTTGCCAAGTGCTGAATTTTTTAACTTCCCTTCAGTTTTTCTCATTTTTATTACCAACAGCCTGTTTCCCTTCTGCGTTAACAGAAAAATAGTTTCTAGAACTCCATCTACTGATTGCCAGGTAGCTGCTGATCATGTTAAAATAAAGCAGTGTATCTTTCTCCTAGAAGCAACACTAAAGAAAAAAAAACATCTGTGAAGATTATTCTAGATTAACCACATTTTTTTGCATTAGCCTATAATAAAATAATTTCAAGTGAGACTGAGTTTGTTATTGAAATTCACCAAAGCAACCTTTAGTGGTCAAGCTTGGATATGCACTTTCAATTGCTCATACAGTTTCTTCTTTTTAAAGAGGTAAAAATAACACAGAATGAATAAATCATTAACTTTCTCTGAGACCTCAACTATTCAAAGTTCCAACTTGTCCTGCTTAAAGCAGTCAATAATTTGAATTAAATGCAATAAATCACTTACAAACATCACTATACAGGTGCAGCTGGTGCAGCTGATACAGCTAACCCAGAAAGCATCACATTAATATATTCTGTCATGAAGAAAAGGAAATGAGAGGAAAAGCCAGAAAAAGAAAAAAAAAATCTATTATCATCTTTAGGTTTTCAGTACTCTATGAAATATTCCAGCATAAAAATAAAAACACTACAAAGCAATTTTTTGTATGTCACAGATGTAYCAGAGCAGAGGACACACTCAAGGTCCATTCAAAACTCAAGCCAACGTGTTGTTCAGATTGAAGAGAAACTGATGCAGAGTAAAAAGTTGCTGGCAGTCAGCTCTTACCCAGGAGCTTGGCAATGATGTACATGGCCTGACCCCACAGGAACAGCTTCCCATCACGCCCGTTGTTACTGGGGAAGCGCTTCTGGCTGCCAGGGCTCCTCTGCTCCGACTCCACAAAGTCAGCRGGCACGTAGTAATACTTGGGGACAACAGGGCACCCTGAGGAGTTGGACAGCAAGAACAGRCACTGAGTAAATAGCACTTCCCTCYTTATTAGATTCGAGTCCCTAATAAAGCTGAAGTGGATCCCAAACAGGAAAAATTGCACCCCAGTAACAATTTGATTGAACAGAGATTGTCATTCACTGTTATCTCTGCAGTGGAAGAATTCCAGGGCAATATTAAACTACTTCGTGTTTCAGCAGCCATTTCCTTAGAATTCCTTCCCAGAACAGGTATGTTGTTTGTGCAGCACCTTCTGTGCAAACTAAAAACAAAAAAAGTCACCTGAAGCCAAATGCAGTTCAGTTAAGGAGCCCTAACCAAAAGCAATGAAAGCTGGGTCACAGTGAAACACTTGGGGTGTTGTACCCCCCGTTAACCCAGACTCAGTATCAGGCAATTTTTCCCAACTAAAATTCCTGCCCAAAAAAAGTCAACTTGGTTTTGCCTACTTTTATTTTTTATATGTTTAAAACCAGCACTTGAATTTTGAAACATTATGAAACAAAATGTCATAACTTCTCTACTAGAAGATACATATCCTGTATTTAAAATTATGCCACAAGAATTGCTGATCATTGTAGATCAATAAACTTTATTTCAACACTTTTTTAGTGGACATGCTTCAGGGGTTTAGAGTCATCATTACAAATGATTGACCTAATTATATGAAATCGAAAAGCAAATCAATATGCTTCCTGCATAATTAATTTCCACCTTAATATTGTTCTACTCATGAATTAATTTGGATAAAGAACAGGTGATAAACAGAATAAAGTTGTAGTGTTTTACTATTTGCTTAGGAAAAAAAATTACTGGCAAGAAGCAGAGAAAAAAAATGGAAAAGAGAGTTAGAGACAGAATATTCAAATGAGTGAGGCATCAGAACACACCCAGCAATTTTAAGATGTGACATTTGTGATGATATTCAACAAAAAGAAACCATAAGATTAATTTAGTGTCYATGGAACTTCACATACACATTAATAATGAGAAAAAAGCAACAGCCAGCAAGAAAACTTTGCTACATAATGCAAATTTGGTAAGGCAATGTTTGATTGTCTAGCAGAAATTAGTTCACTGCAGRAAGTTTAAAGAACAAGTCACATTCTGCACCTACTTGTGTAACTGCACCACAGATGTAAGAACAGGTGACTAAAATGATGAGTTTTWAAATTGGATTGTTCTGTTTTCAGGCTATTTCTTTTCCTCCCACTCAAACTTAGGGTCTTTTTCTGTTTTTTAACTGGATTTTGGACCGATGTGCCTGTAGGCCACCCCTAGCCTTGGCTGCAGTGCCACAAAAATTCTGAAGTGCACAATTTAAATAAGAGAACATTTATATGAAAGTGATTATTTCTCTAAGCCAGAAACAATTTCATATACAAACAATTTTATATACCAAATTATTTTTTTAAATCTTGCAAAATTAAGTGATAGGGAATGATGAGAGAATTCTCAGCTGTATCCAGGTGGGACACTGAAACAACCTGACTGTTGGTAGTTAATATTTGCCTGGAAAATCCAAGTGAACTTTGTGAACAATGAATACAGGTGAAGGAGGGGAGGGATGAGTGGGCACAGTGTCAATCTTACATTTGGATCAGTAGCATTTTTCCAGATAATGTCACTTTTAYTATCACACTTTATGATGCAGTGTATCTGCATAAAAGACATCACTTTAGASTTAGTATTTTGCCATGAGAAACATATTGGTACTCTTCTCCTTTGCTCTGATCACAATACACATTAATAGCAAAGTTAGCATTTTAATAATTTCAGATCAATAAAAATCTACAAGTGTTTCAGAAGAAAAACTTCCAGAAAATACCTTCAGGTGTATGTTGAAGCAAAGGGTCCAGAAGATCCTGATATTCCTTTACTTGTGTAGGATTTCCTCTAAAAACGCCTAAAAATAACCAAACAATAACTGATTTAATGGAAGAAATYATTTTTCCATGACCTCAAAGTCCATAAAAGAAGAAGAAAAAGAATCCAGTGTTTACTTTTCAAAACTAAATATTTCGTGCTTATACATTAAACAACTTAGGAAAATTCAGAGATTGAGCTGTAGATCCTCAGTGCTCCATCTCACAGAGATCATGAATTAGCCCCTCTTAGCAGCTGAAAAAGGTGTATTTATGTGACACACTGAACTATTCAAGAACACTCGAGGATAGTTGTGAYACAAGAGCAATATCTGCTCCTCCAATTTCATTGTCTTTTTGCCACTGCTGTGTATACATCTCAAGTTTTCATTAAGGAAGCTTGTGGATTTGGAGCCATTCGCACACAATGTACTCACAGAATTGTTCTATTTGCTGAAAGTGTGGTCCAGGCAGAAAGGACAAGGACAGTATGTGCAAAGCGCGTATTTTTTACTTTTTTTTGTATACAAGAAGAGTAAAATGTTTTTTTTTATTCTTTTGCTAATTTCAGTTGAAGATTACTAGCTTTTTGTTCTCAAAACTGCAAGTGGGCAGCATTAAATGTCAGTGCCTTTCTCCTCAGTTTTGGGCCTCACTCTTTGAAAAATGTCAAGCATTTCTTTAGAAATATCAATTGTGAAACCTTATTATATCTTCAAACACAGTATTTTAATCTGTGGGTGGCCACAGAGGAGTCGAGGCTGATGGCAGATTTCCSTGCCCCTCACTATCTTTATCTGAAAAGTATCCAACATACTACAGGAGAAAGAAAAGGTGGACAGATTTTAATCCATTTAAAAATCCTTTTGACAGTTGTAACCCTACTCATTTTCTTATTCAAACTTCTGTCCTATGCAAGTTTTAGCTTCCATCCTGAAATCATCCCTTGAACTTCTTTGGTGTGTCTCCTGTCCTCAAGCCAAGGACTAGGTAGTGTTGTTTTTGCTGTTGTGATTTTTTATTTGTTTTATTATTCAATCAGACTGACTACGTGAAAAATCATGGCCAGGAGGAAGCCAGACCTTTCCTGGTTCCCTTTCTTCTCTTCTGAATTCTGTTTCAATTGCCACACAATGCTCAACTTGAAAAGACATTGGTGCACATTGAGTGTGTCACTGTGTTCTCCCTCCCTTTTCTCTCCTGTGCTGCTGAGAAGTTCTGACACAGCTGAAAGTCTTTTAGGCTTAAAAGGCAATRCAGGACAATGTCACAGATTGAGCTTTTAACAAACCCTCGTTCAGTTATATTCTACAAACAGTTCACGTTTGAAATGCTGAAATAAAGGGGGTTGGGGTGCTTGGAGTTTAAGCCAGGAGGCAGAACTCTCAATAAGATATTTAATGTCACTGCATTATGGTTTATTTWGGCAGGACAAGAAAATAATTTTGTATCTTTCCTTTAAGAGCCCATCTTTCTAATGCCTTCAAGGAACAGGAACGTAAAGCCATACTTACCATCAATTATCATGAAAATAAAAAAGAGAGGGAATTCACACTCAATGCCATCAAAAAGCTGAAAAGAAGAAAAATTCAGACATTTAATAATTTTCATTTAAGAAAATATATCTACAAATATATCTGAATAATCCTGTTGAATAATTTCTAAGCAACAAAAGACAAACATGAATGCAAAAACATTTTAGTGCACTTAGGTTATCGCTTCTTAATTCTATGGGYACTTTGAGCCACAGCAGATGTAAAAGCACAGTTATTCTCATGCAGAATATTTAAATAATCTACTTTTTGTTTTCACAGAGAAACTGGGGGGAAGAAATACAAATAAATTTTCATTTAGATAACCTTTACTGATAAATACTGTGATCAAAAGCAAAATTGTTTACCACACACTCAGACTGTAGTCAGCTGTGAAATTAAATGAAATGATAAATAATTTCCTTATTTTTTATGTGAAATCAACTGTACCCTAAATGTAAATGAAAGCACATTCATTACAAAACAAACCAGTGACTCACGTGCTGACTTAGCAATCTCTGAAAACTGCACATGCACGTTACAGAAGGCATTTCCTTGCCTTGAAGCCTTCAGGAATCAYTGTGCAATTCCAGTTCCAGTGACTGGGGGGTGTCAGGTACCTGGGGTGGGAATTTCTTTAATATAATACCTTTATATAATATAATACCTTAATTTCTGCTGGTTTATAATAACGCCGACTTCTGTCCTCCAGYGCTGTCCTGTATCCATCTCTCAGAAACCTTTTAAACCCATATCTTCCTTTCAACTTCCTAATGATTTTATCTAGTGTTTGACCAAACAAAACCTCATCATCCAAAGCAAATGCAGGATAACTAAGGCAGGGCAGAAGAGCTGCATCAGTATTCTGTAGGAGGAGAGGGAGAAATAGGACATTACAAATTTAATTAGATCCCTGACAACTATTTGATGCACAAACAAACTGTTTAACTTACTAAGTGAAATATACATTTGGAACATTATCTGATCAAAATCATAGTGCTAATATAGGAAAATAGMGTGCAAAATAAGACTTCTTAGCAAGTACCAGGATAAACTCCAAACCAAATCTGCAGATAAGCAATTTAAAAGGGAACTCATTTGACTCAGAATGTCACCTGGTTACAGTTGATAATGTGCAGGCATYATTGAAAACTCTGTGGTTTGGGATTTTTTTTTTGTTTATTAAACATATTTTCCAGATGATTCCTGGAGGAAACAGCTGGGTACCATGTGCTCAAAAAGAAGCACAAATATTTTATGAAGGYGTAATGATGAGAAGTATCTATGATTAAATCATCATTTCTGAGCAGCTTTTTCAGAAATATTCTTAGGGTGCTGGAACCAACAAGCCTATCTGGTTTACAATCAAGAAGATATAGGAATAATTCCAGGAAAAAATATGAGCAACATTCTCAAGAACCACATGGATCTATTATGAATTTAAAACACAAGAAAAATTACTAACTAGTGCATCACCTCCACAGGTAAGCTTCCAGAAACACACAAAAAACCATTATTTTCTGCTGATATAATCGAGATACTCAACTGTTTAAAATAACATATTTTTGCCAATATGACTGACATGAACCCATAAAAGGAAGAAAAGGACACGAAGATTTCTATGGGATAAGTTATAAAATCAGCGTCTGTTGGAATATTTCAAGTCTCCAGCAAAAATCAAATGGCAAGAGTTCTAAAAGACCATTTGACTATAAAAAAGTAGCTGACAGTGCCTTTTATTTTAATTGTACAGCATTACAAYTCTGCTATAATTCTTCTACACAATAAGTAAACTATTAATGTTTAAGACTAATAGCCTGTTTCATGAACAAAACTGCTATTATAATCCAGAATGAATAAAAAAGCAGAACTCTATTATCACTCATTTTAAATTACTGATTCTCTAACACCAAGTTTACCTTTGATGCTAGTACTGAAATAGACATTTTTTTAAATAATCTATACTTATGTCACTTAGATTTACTCTCTAAGGAAATACATTTGTAACGGTAGCTTATAGCAACAAGAAATCGTTCATATTCAGCAATTTATGATAAGCCAACCTTAAAGACTTTTTTCCTAGACAAAAGGAAGAATTAAAGCTAAAACAAAGAGTTTCAAAAATGCAGACACAGTGTACAGTGGAAACTAGGCCAAAAGAAMAACAAATCACCAAGGCTGCAAATCTCACTTATTTCAAATTTTGCTTTAAAATTGTTTCGAAAGGTACCATTTGAATGTCAGTATTAAGAAAATTAGAGACATCATTGYAATTCTCTTCAAAAACAACTACAACACAGTGACACTTAAGAAGCAAAGATTCAACACCTTTCCAGAAATTGCATTTTCAAGATCAAGATGGAAGGTCTATCACACAACCAAGGATTCAAATCAGTTTATTWTCTCCACACTCTGTTGAGGTGAATTTCTTTTAAAGACTTACATGAGACCTTGACTCCCGGGGCAGCAATGAACACAGGGTCTGTCTATTCCGGTTATGGGCATCAAAATCCACAAATATAACAGACCACGAGCAGCCCTGCAAACACAACATTGCAATTATTCAAGGGAAAGGAAAGAAGGTTGGTGCATCCTTCTAAAAATTTTATCAGACAAATTCTATACCTGACACAGCAGCAAGCAGTTTGTAAACTAACTTTTTCTAAAGCTGGACTCTAMCAAACAGTGTTAAATATTTCTGAATATCCTCTGATCCACCCTGACAACCATTATCACTAACAAAAAAGGAAGGAAAACAAACACTTTAATTACCTGGTTTCCAAAGAGATTGAAACCGTTAATTGCTTCTAAAGCTGCTTTTGCCAGCCCCACGGAGCTGAGGAGAAAACAAAACAAAAACCCAGAGGTATCAATTCAAGCCCAGGCTAAAACTTCACACACGTGGCAGCATTCAGTACCATGATCTTTTCTTGATTTGAAATTCGTACTTAACTTTATGTCAATAAAATGATGATGCAGCAAATCTGGGGTTGTTTTGGTGGTAAGTTGTTTTTTCTTTTCTCTGAAATACTACTCAGCAGTTTTATTTGTCTGCAAATGTCAGAGACCATCTGGAAAAAGCGTTTCTGTTCTCACCTTGCTATCAGACATCTGGCATTATKTATTTCAAGGTCTTGCTAATAGCACAGAGACAGAGGATTTACTTCAGCATTTTTTTTCAAACCAGCTCTCAAGCATTAAACTTTACAAGACTGATTTCTAGCTTTCAATATAATAAAAGAACTAATCAATCTGGATTCACAACAGAAGGATTTTCTGATGTCAACCATATAGTGACATATCTTTTATTTCTCTTACTCCATGACTTAWATACATTGCCAAGAAAGCAGGACCCAGAAATTCTATTAACAAGACTTCAAGTAAGCACTCATRTTTAAACACATTATGCACTAAAATCAGTAACAATTATATAATTTTAAACCTGTATTAATGTATTAAAACTATTTAACAACTATGTAAATTCTACAGTACAAATAAAAATGTGCATTTTAACAAAGCCTTTTCACTAAGTATAGTTTTACATTTTCTTTGTGAGTATTTACAAAATAGGTAAAGAGGCATTCTTCTCCTTTTCTCACTTTCACTCTTTCTGCAGTTTTAAAGAATATACAATTATAGATAGGCCAACTTCACTCATGTTCACTCAACTGTGCTAAGGAACTAAAGCATTAACATATACATAAACAACTACATTTTTGCATGTTGATTCCAAAATTCCAGATTAAGGTCACATGGCATCTAAAAGTAAAATGTTACATGAGCTGTTTCCCAACAGTGGCAGAATTTAAAACCAACATGTAACACTCCCAGATTTTTGACAGTTCTGCCAAATACTCCAGGTAGGGAAAGGCCTTTGCTCTGCTCCCTCAGTGCTGACAGACAAGTGTAGGACCAGGAAATGCTCCAAGGTCCAGCTACTTAAACATCTTTTACATTCTCTTAGGCAGTCTGCTAAAACAGATTCAGAGCATCCAGTAAAACAAAGCAAGTTTATTTTGTTTGTAAGAATAATTAATGAACACCAAGTTATAATAAATATTCAGATAATAGGCACTAACAATTCCCGACTTCTATGTAAGAGGAGTTGTGACTTTATTGACAAACAACTCCATCATCCAGCACCACCCGCTGCCAAAAAATTCACTATTGTCAGAAATCTGCAAACGGGGACTGTGCTTCAATTGTTATTTTTCTATACTCCATGTGGTACTTTGGGATGGAAGCAAACATTTTACTTTACTGTAAATAAAGTCATTTGTATTATCCATTAATGTAAAATATGAAATTTCAAATTATTACTAACTCATACACATTTTAAATAAGTGGTCTAATTATGATTACACAGAAAATATTGAAAATACTGAAAAAGAATTCAATGCAGTTACAGAATTTGGTTTTTTATGTATTACTTTACCTCTGTTGGTTTTAATATTAGAAATACTTTAGACTGATTTCACACTTTATCATTTATAAACCTCCRCCTTCCTTTCTGAAACACTGCCAGAAAGAATGCTCCTGGGTTTCAGTTCTAATTGGTTCAACAAGAGAAAGCTGACCAGCTTAACCACAGCCTCAGAGTCTCAATTTGGTGTTKTCCGATGCTGAAAGCTTTTAGAGATGGAGCACAGATGAAGAAATAAACTGAAATCACAACTGCTGTGAACATAATTATTTTTCTGGCTCTGTTTCAAATACCTAAATAAAAAATGTAATTGTTCTAAAAATTGCTCTATTCTAATTATCACCTARCAATTGATCAAATAATTTGGCATGGTGACTCAGAACAGAACCTTTCATAGGAATTAGGAATTTTTTATCAAATTGCACATACAGAAGATGAAATCCTGCATACTGACTTTTATCACATTAAAATCTCATATTTCCCTTTCAAGTAAAGTCCTAATATCAACATTAAATATTTTCAGAGTGAGAAAAAAGTTACTGATAAGAGATGAAGAAGTAATAAATGTTCAACTGGTATTCAGATAACATAAAACCACTCAATCTGTCTGCAAAACAGGGTGATACTGCCTGAAAGAAATTCAAGGCAAATATGTATTCCTGCTAWGAAATCATCTCTATTTTACAGACATAGTCATTATTCTACAATAAGAATAATGTAACAATTTACTGGTTTTGATCAGCATTTTTCTACCTCTGGATTTTGAAAGCCCCTGTAGACTTCGCTGCTCTTACAAATATTGCTTGTGAGTGACCATATAAATGTCTCAACATTGTCAATCACTCCACCACACACACAAGTACCACTTAGATTATCAGAAGTTTTACAGGTAAGTGACAGGAGGAAGTTATTTTAAAAGAAAAAAGAAGTGCGTGAACAGCCTTTGTATCAAGTATGTCTTTAACAGAGTGAACAATCACACAGCACAGCACACTTCATCACACTTCACACTCACTTCATTCCCACTGATTAATGCCTTCCTGTTGGGCAAATTACCAAAGAGGCTTGATAATAAACATTATGCTCATGTTCTTTTATAGGAAATACATCCCTCCTACTCTACAATTTAGCAACAAAAAAATGGGAGTGTGTTAACAGACTGCATTAATGGCAAAATGTATTTTAATAAATATGTTCCTTCCYCCACTCAAGAAGCCACTATGAACAGACTCTACTAACCTGTGGGAATCTGCCCAGAGGAAAAGGTGCTTACTTAGAGATGGGTCTGAAACAAAACTGAACCCAAATCCTCTTGAAACATTCCTCTGAAAATTTCACAGGGTCAGTAAGTCATTGGCTAAAAGGGACATATRGAACTTATCRAGCCCAACACAAAACTGTACTTGAAGACAGAGAGAAAAACCAAGACAAATTTAAGTAAAACAAAGCTTAGCTAAGACTTAACTAGACAACTCTCAAAAACCCCCAAGGATGGAGCTTTTGTTTTGCGTATCCTGATCTTTCCTTCTCAGTGCTTTAAATGAGAAGGTTCTTCTTAATGTCCCCACTGAACCTCAGCAGGTGTAATCCTTAGACCTTACTGGAGCTGCCAATTATTTAAATGTGTCAAAGATTATCAAGAGCAATCTTGCAACCATAATGCTACTGGTAACATTTGATCTTGAGGTATATTTAGGACAGGGGAAGATGAGACTAACCAAGAGCAAGTACTTCCAGCTTGCTAAGAAAAATGTCGCGAACACACTTAAACAACATTCATAATTCCCGCTTACTTTTAAGTGTTAGATTCACCCTCTCAGTAAAAAATGAAGGCAAGCATTAAAATTTGTGTATTCCTAGCAAATGTAAATCAAAATAGACCTACAAGCATATCTGCTTTTAATCCTCCTCCTGTTCCATTTCTTGCCGAGTGCTGTATATTTCAACTGTACAGCACTAGAACATCAAGCACCACAGAGGATGTGAAAAAGAAGCAAAGAAAAATTTCCTACACTGATAGGAATTTTTAACTATAGAACCCCAAATAGAAGCAGGAAGGACTGCAGGAAGGACTACAGCAATGCACACCTAYCCTCTGGAGCAGAGCTAGAGCACGGCTCTGCAGTCCTGGATTGGGAATGAGGATGCTGCACTTGGGCAGTTTCATGGCTCTCGCAGTGCATATGGGAGATGTCAGAGGCAGTTTGCACAGGTACTCAGCAGATGCCTGAGAGCAGCTTGATCAAACAGCTACAGGACAAATTAATTTGTGTGAAGTTCAGCCGTATGGGAAGGGATCACACTACAATAAAAGCTGTTACAAATCTTGCCTTTGAACCAATAAAAGACATCAATTTGCATACATCAGTGAAGACCTGCTCCACAGAGTGTTCTGCTATTTATCATTTATTAGAAGTGTTTGGAGCTCTACTAAGAGAGAATACCAAGACTGTGAAGGCTTAAAATATCTGCATCTTTTAAYACGGGCCATAATTTGCAGCTTTTATTCACAGACTTCCTGGTGTAWAATATCTTCTTCGAAAAGAAAGCCTCTTTCAGTAAAAGACAAGAATTAACCACTCATTCTGGAAGCAAACACATGCTGTATGCAGACTTCCAGCAGAGGCTTTAAGGGTCAGGAGGGCACCATCCATAACACTGACCCCAAAGAGACCACTCTGGGGTCCATAATCATTGAAGAAACACATACATCATTTGTGACTAGACCTGATACTCATAACTGCTTCATCAATTTAAAACAAAAATGTTTTGATAGCTCTCTTTGGTAGATAGAATTGGAACATAAAGTATAAAGAATATTTCAGTGTACCCAGGCCTTTCTTCAGTAATATCTAAATGTGTCTTTTGATGCATGTTCCCCTTCCATTTTTTCTGATTTATGAGAACAAKGGAAATTGCCTACCAGCTTTCTACWGTGAAGCAGAGTATGCACATGCACACAAAGAAAGATAAATAGGGGCACTATTTGTTTCTGATGACCAAAGTCTACTTCTTAAATTAGGACCAAGCTYTGAGCTTCCCTTTGTGCTAGCTCAATGATCAGTTAGATTGGCCCAGTCCATCTCACAAAACTTTACCCTTGGCAAAACCAACCTATAAATGTCAGTCTAGATTAAGACAAAATAACATTCCCATTTCCATCTGTTTAAAAGATGCTCAGTTTTCCCTGAAGGAACTTCACATACTGAATAACCAGAATGCTGCAAACAACAGAAAACACCAGAGTTTTGCTGTTCCTTTTGCACATTTCTACAAGGTGAGATGTGGAAAGAAGCATTTGATTCTCTGTGTGAATGCTTGTGTAGCCTGGCATTGGAGAATTTTACAGACACAGTAGGAGAAAAGAAAACTAGCAAGGYAATAAAACAGATTATATAACAACAACTTGGACTTTTTAATTCTCATACTGATAGAAAAAATCTATAAAAGAATTCAGTTTGTCTGCAATGACATGTCACTGTATCTATAGGCTAAAATATACATGCCAGCATGTGGAGTAAGAAGAAAAATTCATTCTCAAATGAGAACACAGATTCATTTGGCAGTATTGAAGACTGGAAGAAATATGTATTCTGTGCAAGCCCTTTATACTTCAGATGATCAACAATGCTTTAAAAATCCTAAGATATCCAAGCTATAGCAATTTTTGTGATAATAAAACCTCAGAAGTCAAAAAGTGAGACAACAATAGTAACACTAGAAAAATCAAATTGTCAGATTACAGATTTGATCCTTCAAGACAGACAGCACATGAGCAATTCCATGGAGGTGAGCAGTAAAATGCTAACAGCATTGCTCCCTGTCCCTGGGGACAGGGCTCAGAACTGGCAGCAGCTGCAGAACCTGGACAAGAGCTTGGCACCAGGCTGCTCTCCACTGCCCAGCACCTTCTTCCCACCGTGGTGGAGAGGAGAAAATCTAAACTGATGATTCTACACCTTTTTAAAGTGGATATTCYKAACCAGTTCTGTGAATCCTATTCCMATCCCATTKCACATGCCTCAAGACCCTGAACTGTTCTGAACACAATTTTCAGAATTATATACATGCAGCTGCACATAATTACTGGAATTTGAATACTCAAACAGCTAAGCATCCATGTGGTTATTTCAGCATGCATATCATGATGAAATTATCTTCAATTTTCCCAAAATACATCTCTCAATCTTTAGAGAACCTTAATTTAGTTCAAACAGTATTTTCATGCATTATTATTTTTAGCTCACCCCATGAATTCTTTTTGTTCATTTACTTGCTTTGACTAAAAGAGCTCCATTTGCTCACCTACCTTGAATGCAGCTCTGGACTGCCGTTGTTATATTTACTGCCTCTTTCCCAGACACCAAAATCTGGTACACGATAGGCTCTCTCCACACAAAACACAAGATTCTGGATAAAGGACACCTAGAGGAAAGAAAAGTGAAGGAAAATGAAAGCATAGTTTTTCTGGGTTTTTTTTTTTCCAAAAGAGAGCATTGCTATTACTCAAAACTGTTCTTTCTATCCTTTTCTGTTTGAACCCACAGAATGATGTTCCCAAGTTCACATATTCTCTTTAAAACCAATTCTTAATAATGATACATTAAGAGCTGTCCCAAATGAAGTGACAAAGGGAATTTATGCAGAAGTTCCAACAAAGGCAGGGATAAAAATTATTTCATATTCAAGACACATATTTGAAGAGCTCCAAAAAGGTGATATTTTGTCTTTTAAAAAAACTTATCCTAACAATATCAGAAACCAAAACAAAATTAAAATGCAGAAATCTTGGGGCTTTTTCATAATTCATTTTAAGATAATTGAYATGCCAAAGTTTTATTAAATTAGCTCCAGATAATACATATTTATGCAGATTCAAACACAATCCTTTATAAACTAAAGTATAAACCAATTTATTGTAATTAGAATCTCTTCTCGGACCAATACATTTCAACTGAATACCAAAGTACTGAGGGGTATTTTAAGACATTCAAGGTGTATTCAGCTATAGCTGGGGACTTATTTAAGCAGATAATTTTTTCTGATTTATACTGTTGAAAAAGAAATTTGGAGTTGCCTGACTGTAGAAAAATGAAATTGAGCATATAGCTCACTTTAAAGAGTCCACAGATTAGAGTTTAGACAAAATTTAACCACAGGCACAAGATTTACACTGGCTCATCCCCAAAGCAGGGATTTCATCCTCCCCCATCCAAATTATTCTAGGGGACTCTGTGGAAAAGAAAATATTGCAGTGGGGATATACTGGGGAACTACAGAGAAGGACTCACTTTGCTACTATCGAGTGATTTTTTTAATGAGTATACTGAAAGGTATTTGCTTCTATTTCAAGTTACCTGTACATATCTCTGTCTTTTTTCTCCATTCAGGTTTTAAAAATTTACCCTTTCAGATATACTCTTAATGCTAATACCAGTCCAGCAGCAGTATTATAATTCTAGACACACTTGTCTCTTTCTCTATATAATATGCCTCTGCTAAAATTTCAGCATGGGGTGCATATGCACAATTATCTGTCCATTGAAACTCTTCACAGCTACTGCTTTCCAGAAAACCCTGTCTCACTCTTTAGCTATGCCCAGTACATTTATCCCTATAATTTAGCATTTGGTTGTATTAAAATGAACTTTCCCTGAATTAAGCCACAACACCCAGGGATTAAGAGGGTGGCTTTTCCCATGTTTATCAATAACTGAAATTTATATGAAGAAGTAACTAGCACCACACAGAAATACATAACMTTACTGATTATTTTTTACCACAGGAAAACTTGGRCATTGCATCGTTATGTGGCATTAASGGGATCTGACAATCCCTGAAGCCATACAGRGRCAGGTCTGTGGTAAAGGAATCTTAGCATGAATCTCCATAGCCCAGAGATTTAGAGGSGACAGTTGCTGGGAAAACATCCTGGCAAGGAAGCGGAGAATATCCACTGACTGGAGAGTCTATAAACATGCACTGTTTCTGCAGAATCTGTAATTAAAGGCAAACATCTGGAGGATAACATAAATTATATATCAAGCTAATTAAATACTTAATTACATACATTTGCCTCCTGACAGATATAAAGGCAATTCAGAGAAAATAATGCAGACCTATCACACGATCTCACTAAGAAAGAAAAAAGACATGTTGCAACATTTCATTTTTTAATCATCTAAAAAAATAGATTACTGAAGATATTTCTTTTAGAAAAATAATGCAAATTCACTGTTACTGGAAAAATCGCCCCTTTTTTTTAATGGTAGTACCACAAGCGCATTTAAGCTTTTTAAGGCAATACAGCAGCAACTATTAMACAGAACAGAGTAAATGTAAGCAAATCCAGATTAAGAAAATTGGAGAAAAAAAGAATTAAAAAAGTACATACATCTGTGCTTTCCATTAGAGTTTCAAAACATAACCTCATTTTAGAGCAGGCCAGCAGGTTGTCCTGACATGACTTGTACTGAAGCCAAGGCTATTATTATCTTATTTACAGAAGAGTTAACACTCTCTACAAACATCTCTTACTACAATATAAAATTGTTTTGTTTTCAATTCAAGATACAGCAAAACTTCTTAACACCCATAGGTTCCAATGAACTTGAAGAAAGTCCTTCAGACTTCCCTGAAAATTAACCCTATTATTTATTATATTGAATTTTCATTGGACAGGATGCACTAAGTTTGAAATAACATGAAAAGTGAGAACAACGTAAGTACAAGTTAATCATCCTAAGAGACCTTTTAATTCTTGACCTTGCAGCTTTCAGAAATAGCAGAGAACTGTAAAACTTTCAATGTYATCTTACATTTACTCTTTGCACATCTGACACTTTTTTAGCTATTATTTTGCTATCCATCATTCCATTACTTGTTCTTAGTTCCACTCAAAGCACAGAATATCTGCAGTGTATTTTCAGAACAATTAMTTTACAGCTGGTTAAGGAAACAAAAACAAGAACAAACACAAACAACTTGAAGCATGTTTTAGGATGGGAAATCGATTTGTACCTCATCTGTGTTGTAGATAATCTGCAGCCCCGAAGAGATCATCTCAACCAAATAAAGGAGAAATAATGACACAGCATTGATCTGCAAATAATTAAAACACAGAAGGAAACTATAATTAACTATGTTTATTGAAGTCATATAAACAAACTAAATGTGGTATAATTCACCAACAAAAATGGTCCCACTTTTACACACGCTTGCTTCTTCAAAAATCCTAGATCTAATGATGTGGAAACAATCAATAGGAAAAAAATGGCACAAACRAGCATGGTCCTCTAAAATTTTGCCTGTTTTATGATTTTTTAATTTCCAACTGTGCTAGCAAAACGTTTTCCCTTAGGAACACYGCTTTGACCCCCAGGTAATCACTTTAGTCACAAGCTGTTTTCATGTTTACATATATGACAGCTTATTACCAAGCAGGCTACCAGAAAGGCAAGTAGCATATTGAACAGCACACAGCACACCTAGAAAGCAAACCACGTCAYCCCTGGTGGGAATTTTGGTGTTATCAGCTGACAGGAGGACAACTACAACATCAGATATGTGAAAAACTACTTTTTGTAGCTGTACACAGCATTTATTATTAMCAGTAATTACCTTCAGCAGCTGTATAGATGAGCATCATAATGTCAGCTCACTGAGAAATGTAAGGCAACTGCTGGTTTGGTTTTTTATTACAGAATTATACTATAATTGAGAATTTGTATTACTCCAATAGAGAAAGTTTCTCACAGTATGAGGTATAAAACCACAATCTCAGCATATGAAATTTACTTTTTTTCTAGAACGAAAAATTGGATTCTTATCTGGAACACAGCACTTTAATAATTAGGTCCAAATTCTAAAATCACAAAATATTTAAAGACCACTGATTCCAGTGTCTTAATACAAACTGAAAAGCACCAAATACAGCAATGAGGGCTACATAATACCTTCAATTTTTCCCAACTGAGCCCCCTCAGTTACTCTATACTCTGTTGTCTCCCCAGAGCTGAAAACCCTCTGGATTTTGARGGATGCTGATGACAGCTGGGAATGTGCATTCATGTTTATGGGAATGGTTCAGCTGCCACAAAAAACAGACTTAAAACTCTCCTRCAGTGCTCCCCAGGTCCCAGATTGACTCCTCCTGTAGGTACAATGTTCCTGACAGGAAACTTCATATTGGAGTCCAAAATGCTAACTTAAGATAATTCCACAAAGCAGTTTTCCCTGAACACACACTTTCTGAATCCAATCCATTTACTATACGAACTCTTTAAATAATACTGTCACCATGAAATGAAATAATCATCAACCTACTGTCACAGTTCTGAACAATTTCATTAGCAATTTCTGAGCTAAAAGGAGTGTGCAGACTTATGGAATGCAAAATAACAAGGTAATGAAAGCAAAGGTRGGTCTGAAAGTAGAAGAGACAGGGAAATAAAAAGAGTAGATTAAAACTATGGAAAATGAGAGACAATAAAACAATCAGTTATGCAATGGATCTGACGAGGAGCCACTACACAAAGCAATGAACAACAATTCCTAAMCAGACAAAGCTGTTGTCAGTGTATATTAAATGAATGAAAATTGCTCAAAATTATGGAAAATTAGGTTGGGAATGTTAATATTCACKGTAAGATTACGTTAAATCTTTCACTTTACTGACTGCAACTTTTTTTTTGCCAGGATTATTTATTGACAGCCATCTGTTGGTATCAAAAAGAAGGAACTTGGTAAACAACCAACCATTTACCTCTGCAATGTCACAATTATTTCAGTACCTTTGACCAAAACAGACCATTGAGTTATATTTCAAATACTCTTTTTCAGTAAAACCCCAGTTTTACCACATACAGCACAACTAACACAAATCTAACCAAATGGAAACAGCTGCATTATGGAAGAATGGAGACAACAATAACATTATTAAAAAAAATCAGCCAAACTGTGATTTACATCTACAGGTGTGTTACCTGMAGGTGACCATAGTCCTCATGGGAGAAGACCTCATCTCCAGTGCGTGCACAGAACACAGAATGCAGGCATGCAGATGGTTTGGGGTCTTGCTTGAATTTCTGAACCTAAAGGTGAATGAAAGGCAAAACATAAWAGCAAAGTCAATAATTTCAGTATGTTTGGCAACCATAAATTCACCATGTATCTTATTTAAATTATTATTACCATTACCACATTAAAAAATTTCTTTATATGACCACTATGTGAACCTTAGAATCAACTGTGTCTTTTCAGAAAATTATAGCTGGTAATTAAATAAAACCAAGATAGCACCATAACTCTTCAAGTCATGCTTTGCTCTCCAACAAATTTTAGAATTTTCTAMCCATCATTGCCGGTACCTGACACATTTCACAGTGTTTTCAACACCAATGTTAACTTCATGAGACAATCTTCTCTACCAACAAAACAYACAGCACGTGGCTCAGAACAAGCAAACAAATACTTGTGTGGAATTTTCACATCTACTCCACAAATACAATAAATACACTTCAGGTCATAACTCATATCYTTCTGGACAATAGAATACAACATCTGCAATTTTTGTTACAAGCAGCAGCATCTGCTCAGGTCATGTCTTGGGCATATATAATTCATATTATTAAAAAATATCTTTCTTTTACATGAGGCCATACACAGTCTCAGAATAAAATCCAGCTTGATTTCCATCTGTTAGGTACCAGAAACTGTTTATTACCACATTGTAGGAAGAGAAAAGCATCTGTACAAAACAAGGCAAAACCAGACTAGCAGTGTGCCAGCAGTGTGACACCTGTGTTAATTTAATGCTCATTATTCATATTATCATCCTYAAAACAAATGACTGCACACCAAAGAGAAAAACAACCTCTCAAATGTAACAAGATCAATTTAGGTCAAGATTATTTAAAGACATGAGACTCTCAAGAAAACCCAAACCCCCAGAAAACACATGTCAGCATAAATACCTCTGGCAATACAATACTGGGTTACTATGATTGCTACTAATACCACAGGCCCATGGACTTCACATTTCAGTTTGTGTGCTCAGTGTGATGGAACCTGTGGGCTAACCTGAAAAACTATTTCTAACAATACAGTTACCTCAGTGACCTGAAACTTAAAATAAGCACATGGAATACATTTATATTTAACTACTYCTAGATCTGCTGCCAACTACTATGCAAAATTTATTCGCCACACCAAATTTTGATAAGRAGAAGGTCTGAATATTCAGAGTATACTCAAAGGAGAATTATGGGATGAATAAATCAACTATTTTGCAACATAAGTAAATTCTGTTTCCTTACTCATTTTGGAAACATGTGCCCTTCTGAACTTACATCATTAAGTAAAATACTGCTGAAGTGCATCAGCTAAATAAACCAAGCAAAACAATCAAAAATATCACCTAGGTAAGGAGAACAACAGCAAACACAATAACCAAGATAACTGTGCAAAGAAAATTCACCAGCCTTAACAAAAAGTAGTTCTACATCATTCTACTTAAACACAAAACAGACATAACACCCTCCACAACTACTAATGGTGCAATATTTAAATGGCATAAACAACTCCAAAATGAACACAAAGAAGTTTCAAGTGTAGCCTGCACTTTCCTCCCCAAAATGCTCGTGTTTCTATTCCCTAAAATGACGCTGCAGCCTGACAATAATGAGGCAGCTGTTGTGAGCTGGGGCACACAGTAACATTGGCAATTTGATCTGTATTTAGGAGTTGGTTTTCCCAGTTTAATTAATCCCCCCGAACGAGGCGAGCGCTCGTGTCTGCGCCGCAGYGCTGTACCTTATCGGACTGGCGCATGTAGCAGTAGAGAATTCCTCTCATGCACTTTATAGCAGAATGCTCCAGCTCGTGAGTCCTTCCTTTGTCATCATCGATACGCCTGGGTGAGAGAGATAACTCATGAAACAAATTGCAAATGCATTAGGGGGGGAAAGAAAAAAGGAGACATTAATGCTTTGGAATATTAAGTATTTAAGTAACGCTGTTGGATAGTTGTGCCCTCACTCATATCAACATATTTACAGCCTTAGTCATCCTTTCTTATTAAAAATAATAATAATAACAATAAACGGTTTTTTGTCTTGCAACTTACATAAGCCTTGCTATTTCAAAATTTAAACATTAAAAAAAATCCTTCCTAATAATATATCATCCTGTGTCTTGCAAGTAAATGATTGTTAGCACCAGCAACAAGCCTGCCAGTGCCTTGAACTTTCCTACTAGATTTAAAAGTATCCCTTGAGTTAAATTTGCCACGAGGACCTCTATTTTTAATTGCATGCATTAATTCCTCTGTAACAAATACTGGTACCAATTACACTACATGAAAACATGTTTACTTACCAAAATAGAGTGATATTTTTAACCTAGTACCTTCACAAATATGAGATGTGGAAACCACCMTTCTCAATAGGTTTACAAATCTATTTTTGATAAAGCTTCCTCTTTGAAAACTTTCCCGGGAACTGAACAAGAGAGGGAATGTAACCTGGCAGAGACTGAGTGCAGAAGTTATTCACCTGTAAGCAAGGGCCAGTGCCCAGGCACAGGCAGCACAGTAAAGGCTGTCATGGATTTTTGCCTTTTGGTTATCCCCATAAGTCTTGGTAGGGAACAGACCTGTGGTCGGGCTTTGATGGAGCAGCAACGTGGATTTCACTGGAAGAAGGAAAAATAAAAAGGTTGTTAACAAACTACTATTTCTTCCACTTTCTAAATAGATTTCCAGGAATAGATCAAGGGGTGCACAACCTGTCAGAGCAYCCACAAGATAAAATAAGAGAAAGGAAAGTAAGGAGAAACACACACAACACTTGTTACATGGTTTTTCCGGCAAATTAGACCTTTTTACACAAAAACYCAGCAGTAATCAAAACTATTTCTATGAGTCTGTTCTAGCACAAGCCACTTTGTACAGAATTTCTACAAAGCAACCCAGTAATTTCCTTTCTGTGAAAACAGAAGAAAAAGGTAACTACAGTATGTCAGCTGTCSCCCCAATCATTAAAATGCTTAAACTGTCCAGAATTCTACATTCATAAAAATTACRCTTTTAACTCAGGCCAGATGACTGTATCAATATTATCAATGAAAGCAGAAGGAAGTAAGTGAGTAAGTAAGGAGAAAGGACAACTACAATTATTTAACTCAATACCTTGATATAATAATAGAAAAAGACAGGAAATCTCAGGCTGACAAAAGTGAGTTGGAAAAAAGACTAAATATTACTCTAATTCTTTTTGTATTTCAATATTCTGCATTTTGGGAATTGTTTTCCCTAAGGTTATGTAAGAACCASAATGCTACAAGATTGAAACTAGGCTTAATGCCCTCAAACATGACCTTCTAACAATAATCTGTCCAGCATAAGACAGGAAAGCAGGCTTTTTTCCACAGATTGTTGTCAAGCATTAATTTTAAGAAACCCTTTGTTATCTATGTACTAGAAACTAAGTGATCTGAATGAAATCTACAAGGTTTTTCAGCTTTTTGCATTATATTTTTCAGTGTCTTGATAACCTGTAACAAAAACTTTGATAAAATATTACCTGAAGAAGTCAATATAGATTATTCTAAATTAAGTATAAATTCAATAATAGATTTTTACTGTGGCAGCAGCATAATTGCCTGAGATTAATAGCAAGCACCACCACTGATTTATTGCTGCCAAGTTAAAAAAACAAATTGAACAGCCATCTCCTCTGTAGGAAAGCCAAAAGCAATGCACTAAAAAAGCAACAGATCTATGGACAGACCAGGTACAATGCAGATTTCACTTCAAAAAGCCATTWGAATGAAGTCTCATCCCGTATTTTTAGAGTGATGGGAAAATTGTTCACTATTCTATAGCCTTGTCTGAGTAAAACTTGAATCTTAAACAGCCAATTGCACAGCTATTAAAAAACCCTGAYTTTAGCATACTTCATTATCACACAAACCTCCTGAAACCCAAAATAATCAAAACAAATCATTGCTTCTTTAATGGTTTTGGCTTAAAATAACCTCGTAATGAAAAGAAAACTATTAAAGGTGATTTAAAGTAAGTTAGCTAACAAAACTTCAGCACAAAAATACATTATGGCATAATTAATAACAAAAAAGAACTTCTCACTGATCACCTGCCAAACTGTTCCACGTACTATAAGAAAGCTTTTTTCCATTTAAATTTTTTCTCAGCTGTACCTGGTCAATGCTATCATACAAAGCTACCCCCTTATCCAAAATAATTCTAAATTCAGTCTTACAGCTGGACTGGATTTTCAACAGACATTTTGATTTTCAACAAGATGTGTAACTCAGCCCTTGTCTTTSTGCCTTTCAAATTTCCAGCAGAGGTTTAGGAAACTATCCTTAAGTAGGAATAATGTAGCAYTGATCTTTATCAATTCTAACTCACACCTGGGTTAGTTCAAGCATTATTAACTTACCAATTCTATAGTAATGATTTAATTTATCCCACAGACTTTCCCCCTCTGGCTTTGGAAGGTTAATACATTTAAGTGGCTCATAAATTGAACCTAAAATAAGAAGAAAAAAGAAAACCAAGATCAGAATCAGTTTCATAATTCTAACATTGTTAAAAATTACTGCAATAAGGTATTTTTCCATGTTTGGTATAAAAAAGCACAATTTATCAAACTTCAATTGAAACAGAAAAAGTTATGTCAACAGAGAATAGACTTCTATACGTGTTTTTCTCTACAGTGCCTCTCTACAGAAACCAGACTTCCATCTGTATCTCCAATGCCTTGTAGACAGCCAGCTACAGCAAATGCTATACAAATGTAGTTAATTATTGAAGACAACTATTAAATGTTAACAATTTTCTAGGAACATTTTCTTGGAAACTTAAGTAAGCTATGGAGAAAATTCTGAAAGACGTAGAAAAAAAACAGAACAAGAGGGCCAAAATTAGACCATATTTAACTATTACTGCCTTACCTGCCTTTTAAAATGAACATGTCCAACATTATCAATGTTTTACCTGCCCCAACCTCGTTTGCACCCACCACCAGTCAGCCCAGCTGATCTCATGTCTTGAATAAGGGTTCGCTTGTACCCACGTGCTGTTAAAGCTTAAACAAGCCATTCAACAGATAAAGCCCCCAAATTAGCAGTTTTCCAGAAATATACAACGCTATCAAATCCCTATCTTTCATTCTCCTGTTCCACGGTTTCACTATCTCCACCTGAAAGTCAGTTTTACTGAGAGCTGAAATGGGCTACCTAYTAAAAATGACTGGGGTGAACCATTTCCAGCTTCTCATTTCAGAGYAACACGCTGCTCTCCTCCATAAATCACTTGGGCTTTATTCACTGTTCAGGATGGCAATGCCTCCAAAGAGCCATGTGCTCRCAGGAAGAATGAGAATTTTCCCTTTCCGGACTGCAGGCTGCCCTTCTGAAAAGCTCAGGGAATGCCTTGCCAGGGAAGCCCAGCCAGCCAAGCAGTTCTGGCAGGACACAGTAAGTGCTCCTGTTCACAGTGCTKCTTTGGCAATCCCACCACATTCCCAAGCAATGGACACGAGATTTATCTATGCACTCCCATCCACATGAAATAAAGAAAACAAAACAAAGAGAAATAAAAGTGCTCAAGAAACAACAGGATGTGGCACTCAGGTGGTGTTTGGTCAAATGTTGGACTAAATGATCTCAGAGGACTTTTCCAACCTGACTGGAATGTGTGTGGAATAGTGACAGAGGCTTTATGAATCAAGTCCTTTGGTGGGGAGACAAACTTTTGCTCTGCAATCACAGTAGTGAAACACAATCTACTCCTCCCTAAACAGAACCTTGGGTGTCTGCTCTCCATGGATGCCCTGGGCTGCTTCCCAACTCATTGGAGCTTCCCCTACAGCCTTTCCCCACTGGGAGAGGTTAAATTAGAAATAACACCTGCATGTGGGAAAGGGCCTGGATGGAAGCACAGAGAGCCCAGTTTATCTGATCTGCCTAAAAAAACAAAGTCAAAAGAAATGAAATTTTTCCTTAATGGAAAATAAAAACTTGTAACATATCAGAGCTTTTGTATCTTCTATTAAAATAAATACATAAATAATGAACATTCTGAACCAATTTAAATCCATTTTCAAAGCAATTTCATTTTTCTACTTCTTTTTGCCTATGAATCCCTGTCCATGAGATAATTCCTAATTTATACTGTTATACAATTAATTCAGTTATCYTGCAAAAGCACACAATACAGTGAGCTGCAGTAACTGTTATTTTGTTCAGTGCTGTAGTGAAAGAACAATACACAAAGGAAAAAAACTTCAGGAAGTCAGTGAACGAAAAGCAACAAATTTATGAGAAATTCGATTATTAGATTTTCAAAGGCAAAATAAAGATTCTAATTCACAGGTTAGCTAACTGAATATCAGATGTATATCCACCACCCTTTGTGTGTGGAACAGGTTCAGAATGTCCACTTCTTGCAGGCTGTTAACCCCAGTGTGGTGCCAGGACACAACAGCGAGTATTCACAGGCACACACACACGGACATACAAAGTCAAAAGTTCCTGAACTGAAATTGTTCTGATTTAAATACTTACCAGACAATCTGTGACCCTCTGTGGCCAACAGAGAAACAAAACAAAGTTATCAAGAACCAAAAGCATATCCTTCTATTTCAGAGCATTCAAAGATTTCAACTTAGTGCAGGAAAAAGATTAAACAGAATAGAGAGCATGAAATTGTCAAAACACCACCATCTACCAGTCACATTATTTCAGATATTTGAAGCTTTAATAGAAATATAGTAAAACAGAGTAGACTGTTGATGAAACAGAAAGGTGAATTGGATTCAAAGCTTAAAAAACTGACAAAAAGTTTTATGCTTTCTAAGTATTCCCTAAAATTACTCCCACTACAAGCAGAACTTGTGTAAATCAAAGTTTTCCACATATTCTTCATTAATTCCTCATTAGCATCTATATAGTTTATGTTTTGCTTGGGTGTCTATGGCATTCTCCTGGAGAAATCATGTGGTAAATKATGTTTCATTACTATCACAACCTAATCAAAGCAAGGAACAGTCAGGACAAACACGAAGCTGCTCCTTTCCTTGTGCTTTGGGAGTGAGCCCATAACACAGAGGAAGCTATTTTTAGGATGGCTAAAAAAAAAGTCTGTCTACACTCTCATCCAAAATCTATTTAAGAGTTCATTTCAGTAAGATTAAAACCTGTCATAAAAAGCTATTTTCAATTACATATTTTAAATATGTTTTCAAACTAAAAAATAAAATGTTAAAATATGACAACAGCAAGACTGTAGCACTCTAAACATAATAGAATGACATATGCAAATAGTACCCTGGAGGTCTCTGTTTGTACATTCGCATTCAGAAGAAACAGAATGAGGACATTAATTTTAAATACTGTTTTCCATAAATACATCACTTTATTATGACCATACAGTGTGAGTTGTATTTTAGGTAAATAAGTAGGCATGCTAGGAAACATATAAAAACCTATTTTGTTGATTTATTATTTCTTCTGCTGTCTAGTGGTGTAACAACCYCATCCAACATTTAAATAGGGTGTATGGGAGTTCAGCTTTTCTTCCACAAAGAATGAAGTGTGCCCATTATTCTCTTAAACCACAAGTGCATTGCTGCAGGCAGTACCTACTTCAAAATCAGTAAAAGACTGATAGAACATCAAAGTGTCACTTCCTGCATTAATATAATTAATGTCTGATAAGAGAACACTACAAGTCCAATTAAATCCCTGTTGTCTTCAGACATTACACTRACTAAATGCCCTATATTCATAATCTGAAGGAAAACAAATCCTCTTTCATTYCCYACCATTTACAGGTTCCAGAGAAATATGACTTCACCACTCTTCAAATTGAATAATTACTAAAAATGACAGACATTCCTTTCAAAGTATTAGAGAACAGGAAGAAATCTCAATCCTATGTWTGTACAACCTCTGGAGGATGAAAATATTGTCATCCTGATGTTAAAGTGCTTTYCCATCCACCTCATTTTAATTCCAGTTATACCTGGGATTAGCACTAACTGCTCTTCAGKGAAGAGCTGTAAACTATCCAGATGTTTAGATTCAGAAGTTATGGCCAAAATGGCTTCAAAACAACTCTGCTCCCAGATTTATATATACAGAAGGTTTGAACACACACACTTCCTTGAAGATGGCACAAATTGTGGATATTAAAGAAAAACAGGGATTTGAATGGAATTCTGGACCAAGTCTATGGACAAGGATTTGCATATTTAAAACAGGGATGGTTTATTCAAATTTTTCAAAGTATAGAATGATAAAACAAACACTTCTCTGAAGTTTAATCACAAATGGAAGCAACATGGCAGGAACTTTATTTCCAACATTTCATATGCCAGAAGAACAAATTAAAATGTTGATTTGCATAATTAAATCAGGACAGTTCAAAAGAAAAAAAAATACATATGATTTCCTTCTAGATTTGCTAAGAATCAAAACTGACCACTGCCTTTAATGCGACACTAGTCCTGGATGTAATCAAACMCTTGAGACAGGAACCAGCTCCAGACCTCAGATCCTGTAACTTTCATTACCCAGCATTACTAAGGGCAATGACATCTTCACATTACAGAAGTCATTGGCACCAGACGGGACTTTATTTCTACTCACAGCAAAGTTTAAAAAAATTAGCCACTATACACAGGAGGAAACTGTCATCAAATAGCTGACCCTGCTTTGAGCAAGAGCCTGGAGTAGAYGACATCCTGACAACCCTTCCAAACTGAAATGTTCTACAATTCAATGAAAACAGGGAAACACCTGGAGAAGSGCTTGGASAGGAAGATGCAAAAGGTATTAAAGYATTCCTCTACTTGAATACACAGTAAAAGTAAGCAAAAGATATGAATTGCTACGTAGGTTGAGTGATAACAACATGGGTAAAAATGAATAAAACCTTGTAATAGTTTCATTTAAATAGCACTGAAGTRACAAAGATTTGAAACTATGATTGATCAAGAAAAATCACGTGTTAGATTGTGCAGGTAATTGTATTTCATAGAATCACAGAATATCCTGAGTTGGAAGGGACCCACAAGGATTGTAAAAGTCCAACTCCTTGCCCTGCACAGAACAAGCCCAGAATCCCACCCTGTCCCAGGGAGCATTGTCCAAATGCTTCCTGAKCTCTGTCAGGCTTGGAGCTGTGACCAATGCCCTGGGCAGCCTGTTCAGTGCCCAACACCCTCTTTTCCTGATACCCAACCTAAACCTGCCTTGACACAGCTCCAGCCATTTCCTCAGGTCTTGTTGCTGGGCATCACAGAGAAAAAAGAAAAAATATGCACTAATTAATCTTGTCCTTTCTCTGTCTCCTAATCATCTGAAGTTAGTTCTCTGTACAGTATATTATACTTTATGGAAACTACTGATCCCAGCATTWACAGTAACTAACAGTAACTTACGGAACACCAGAAATAAAATACTGACCATCCTGCCAGTACACAGGAGYTTCACATAACCAAAATGCCAAAGTCTACCACACAAGCCTTGTAAATGCTACAAGCAAGGCAGGAAACCATTCAGGATACTCAAGGCAGGTATTGCCATTTCTGAGAATTCAAAACAATAGGTGTTAAAACTACTAAAAGTGTTGATATCATAACAAAGAGAAACATCAAGYATCTATATAATAACTAGGAAAGAGTAAGTTTTTACACTGTCAACACATCACATGCTCTTTGATGTTCAGGGAGGCAAAATTGAAAAGCCACAGGCAGGGCAGAGGATTCAAGCCACTCAGTTCTGAGTCCCCTCACCTGGTTAATCTCATCAGCACTGAGCTGCTACTGTGCTTCAACAAGARCTACACAAGAGTCTTCCCCAATCACAACATTTCACATGCATACATCTGTTCCCAGTCAAACTGCTTTCAAAATACACATTAATGGTCTTTACAACTTCACATATTCTAGCTTCTATTGTACCTGAGGAGAAGCTGTGCCAGGGGCCTTTATTTTGCTTCCACTTAATTTCCAAAAGTCAAGCTTTGTAACCAATGACTGAGTCACTGGCAATTCTACTTAGCTCTAAACCAGTCACATTGGGGGCTTTTAGGAGTCAATTGCAAACATCATTCTTAATGCATCTTTCATGTGACTGCCATCTTAAATGAGAAATTTGAGTTCAGAGATGGTTACACCGAGGGATACTGACAGAAACACAAAACACAAACAGAACAGGAAGATTTGACAGTAGATTTCAAACTAAGTAATTACAATTTTCAGAAATTTTCACTGAAGSAGTTCAAATTTTTAAGTTCTACTATACAGTGCTAAAAATCTACCAGCACAAAACATTGCATGAAACAAAATACACAATTATTTTTKGTTGAATTAAATAGCCACAAACAAAAAACAAAACACAGAACTGCACACTTACCAAATTTTAAAAAAGCATGCGCAGAGGAGGCTCTGTCATCATCCAAATTGGCCATTTCAAATTGGTGCAGCTAATCACAAACGTCTCAGGCTAAGCTACAGTAATTTTCAAAACTGTTTAGTAAATGTTAAAGGCAATCAGCATTAAATTAAGTGAAAGCAATGTTAGTGGAGTTATTAACATGACAGACTGCACAGCACAAACTTTCATCACACGTTTCCTTCTTCTACACTGACCTCTTGGTTTTATTTGACTTTTACTTCCTTAAAACTTATCTGAGTAAAAGGACACMGTTTACAATAGTTTTGGCTATTGAYACGGGTTTTGTTATTCAATAGGAAATTTGCGGCAAAACACCAAAAGGTGATGAATACAACCTAATATATTTCAAGATGAAATAAAAATACTGATTTAACTAGTGCATATAAAAGTGTTTAGTAAAATTTAAGACAAGGAGCTAAAACTCTGCTTATGCATAGGGCTGCWTTTATCCCATGTGAAATCTAAACCACGATATTTCTTGCTGTCATGTTATTACTTATGGCACTGAATATCTCAATTATTTGAGGTGGGACATCTTCCACTTTGGAATATATAATAAGAAAAAAGCATTTGTAATTATGATGACAAATTTTTTCCAAATCTTCGAAGTTTATGCTTTTTAAAGTAACCAAAATTTCAGGGGCTTTAGACTAGTCAGCTACTGACTTTATCATACAGCTACTATCTTTATTATATATGTTTTCCCAATCAGAGAAGCAACAAATGAAACAGTTTTTTATTGCTTTGGGAGAGGAAATGGAAATCTCTGAATTAAATCTGGTTTTACTGAAAAAAAAAAGTAATTCATAATTTAATAGACATAAATATGAGGATACAAATTACCTCCTACAGGACTGAGTCTTACATGATACATCGCTGCTGGCTAGAAAACATGAGTCAGTGGTGCATTTCAGGCACGTGGGTCTATTCTGTGTTTACTACATCTCACTCCAAGCAGCACACCAGTAAAAAAAAAAAACACAAAACCAAACAAAGCAGTGTGTTTTTTGAGCCTCCAGCACAGGCCTCGGCCAAACCAGAAACATGTGGGGGTTTCAGTCACTTTCTATGGTCATCCCAACCATGTCTCCTTCTGACAGGGCCAGGAAGGAAGAAAAAAGCCCTGAAGTTATACAAATTTCAACATAAAGATACAGCAGTAAACTTGAAAAATAAGAATATGTTTTTTATTTTTAGATATGAATGCTACCTRAAAGCTAATGTATAAAATTTGATTTTAAAATCAACTCTAATAWCAGAAAAACTTTTCAACTAAAATARTGTTTACTTCTTGACYGWATTTCCTCRGTTATTATATAAAATGCCATGAAAAAAACTCTAGACAATCTCTGGACAAAATCTGTATGAACTGGGAAAGAACGAAGACAACTGCAATAACAATCTGTCATTACACATATCATTTATACACTCCACAAAAAAAGTAACAGGCAGCAGCCGTTAAGAAAATGTGTTTAAAACCATTCAAATGCCTTGTGCAGACACAGGGCCTGGCTCTGTAGGGGATTCCCACAGTTCGTGTGCTGCCGTGAGACCTGGGATTCGCACACTCCAAACATTGGCTGCCAGCCTTGGTTTTGTGGAGCTCTAGGGCTGTATCTGTCAATCAGCCTTCAGATCACAGCACCGTGATCTGGTAATCATAACCGGCCACAAAGTATCAACTCCTTCAGTGGGCACTCTTAATCCTGGGATTTGCCAATCAATCTATGCAGAAATTGAACTTTTAAAAATTTATCAGACCACTTCTTTAGAGCCCTCATAAAGCCCCATCTTTCTCTCACACTCTCTGTGTGTAATCAGTCATTAGSACAAAACCAAGCAAACATGCAAATAAGTAACAACTGAATTAAAACAAGCATGTGTGGCACATAAATAATCACAGAAGGATCTTCTGGAAAATTGTTTCCATTAGAACGATTAAAGCCCTACTAAAACTGCATTTTACTTAAAAATATAATTAAAGCCTGAGTTTTTTGAAGTTCAGAAATTAGGGCTAACTCGGCAAACATCACCCTTTGGTTTAGACCAGAATGTACATGTTGCCTCACAGCTGCCACASAGTCCCTGTTCAGAACAAGAAATTCCCATGCTACACAGAGGTTACCCTTACCTAAGAGAAACCTGGCAAAAGCTGGTACTTTCCTCTAAACACTTCACCTGTTCTACAACTGCAACCCTTTATACAACTGCGCTACTAAACGCTCCACGAGCGGCTCCCTTTGCTCCCGTGGGGACAAATGACACCTGAGCGGCACTGGGGCTGTGCCCGCCAAGGACAGGCGGGGCCGGCTCCCCCGGGGTGCCCCCTGTGCCCTCACAGCCGGGGCCGCCACCGGCGAGAGACACGGCGGGGACAGGGAAACAGCCCCGGG